CCAAACGAAGAGGTCTTGGAACTCTTTGAGGAGCGTAAGCAACTTCTGTTCCTCTTCTGCGGCCAAGTGTGCCGGAATGCGTACCGTCTTGTCCGGTCGCTCTTCGTTTAGAACGACTGCTATGTCTCCCTCGACAGCTTTGAGACGCGGGACGTCCCCTCTTGCGTTGACAAGTTCGACCTCAAGATGCTCAATGGTCGCTTGATAGCACTCCTTAGCTTCTTTTAGGTTGCTGCGAACGTGCTCCGTCTGTCCTCCGCTAGGGAATTTCAACATCTGGTGGCATGTGGACGTGACAGCTTCGAATGATGCAAGGAAACCGCAGCCCAGGATGTCGTTGTAATCCGAGGGACAATCCGCTACGTGGAACTCCACCGGTCTAGTCTTTGTGATCCCACCCTTGCCTATGGTGACCTTGAGTGTGATTGATCCTAGGACACATACCTTTGTTCCTAAGAACCCTACCTAGTTGGTGTTGGATGGATTGAGGTCTTGGACGCTCTTCTTCATTCCTTTGAGAGCTGAGTAAAGGAGGATATCTGCAGAGCTCCCGTTATCTATGAGGGCCTGGGTGACCTTGAATTTGGCAGTTCTGACCAAGAGGTCTTCTGTATTTTGTTCCTTGGCCAATTCAGACGACAAGAAGGTGACGTCGGTTGGCACTCTGCATTGGACGCTGAGGTAGTGGGCTATGCGGCCTCCCTCCGCTCTTGGCCGCTTTCTGCCTCTTGTGATGGTTATGATCTCCATTCCGTCGTCATCGTTACGCGGGGGTCTGTAGGCTACCTCTGGGGAGAGATGACTTTTTTCTGGAAGGGGATCTCAACCTCTCTTTCTTCTACCTTCTTGCTTTGTCTACTTTGGGACTACAGGATCCCTCCTGCGTTTCTTGGGAATGGTCTCAATGCGGACGCCGAGTCTCAAGGCGGCTTCGAAGGTCTCCCGACGCTAGATATCTGAGGCTGGCTTTGAACTTCCTACACTCTATGATGTCATGGGTAGTAATTTGGTGTCAGACGCACCACTTCTTTCCATATTGCGGCTCTTAGCCAGAGGATGTCTCGTGCTTACTCTCGCCCCTTCGTCTTTCTCTTCCTCGTTCTCGGTCAGCGGAAAATACTTCCTTTTTGCCGTCGCGCTCCGTGTATCTGTTGCGATACGCCTTTCGCTCTGGTGAGCTCCTCCCGCGTTGAGCATCTTCGCACTCTTGGGGATTGACCCAGGGGCGTCCTTAATGGTTCTGATCATCGGTAGCCTATGCATCCTCGAGCAAGATCGCCCGCCGCACCAACTGGTGAGCTTACGACATCGCTGGGATGCAAATTTCGTAGAGAAAAGCATCAAAAACTGCTAAAATTCTCGATTATTCCTTCCGGGAGGGAGGTGTACCACGTTCGGTATTGACAGATAAAAGTGACATGGAATGCTCGAAACAAGTCTGAGTCCAACGTTTAATGAGCTGCATCTTTAGCAAGAACCCACAAAACGGTAAAAGGGATCTGAGGTCCCGCTTTATATTGGTAGTCCTAAGGAGGAGAAGTTAGGGGGGAGCGGGGTTTTGAATAGTTTCCTCGATGGGGGGTTTTGGAGAACGTTCGGGCTTTTGTGCTTCCCTTAGGTCGACCGCAGGTGTTCATCAAGGAAGCCGAGGTCCACGTCTTCTGCCTCTGGTCCTTCACCTTCCATCTGAGCAGGGCTGTCAAGGACGCGGATGGCCTTCTACTTCTCCTCACGCGTCCTCCCTCTTGAACCCTCAGTGGGGTTTTTTTTTTCGTCTTCAAGAGTTGGAGGATTTGGGAGAGGCTGTCTAGCATGCTCGAGATTTGCAACTCCTGACTTTTGTCCACCTCCTCTAGCTTCGTCTCGTTCTCAACTCCCGGTGATAGGCCTCGGAGGGTGTTGTTCTCCGTAGACCCTTTGAAAGGGGTCTCGAAGTCGTCTCCCATCCTTTCCGCAACGAAGTCGTGAGGCCACACAGTGGGCGCCAAAATGTTTGTGGCTGGATTGTACCAGGCAATTTTGTGAGACTTCACGAGCTTCGTGCGGCTCTTAGGGAATCCTGGGACCTCCTTTGATGCCAAAGTTAGAGAGAGAAGTGAATGACTAGTAAATAAGAGAGAATGGAGTAGATAGAAGTTACCATAAATGTGACCATTGAGTGGTTTATACTAGCGCAAGCTAGGGTGACGACATTTAATGCTCTGTCGGGCGTTTAGGGACGCCTCTGGGCTCCTTAAATGCATAATCAGAAGTGTACTTTTGCCAATCTCCATACCGAGGCAGTTAGGAGACCGTCGAACCCTTTTGTCTAGCTTTCTTCTAGGTTTCCATTGAGAGCAATGTCAAGCGGTCTTCATTGCTACTCGCGAAGACCGCCTCCGAATAGGTTGTCTTGTGCATTCCGGGCTATTTGGGCCGGGATTGTCTATTTAAGGGCTTTTAGTGATCATGGGCTTGAGGGCCCACGTGTCTTAATGTTTCGCCTAACAGATAATTGCAAGTATCATTTAATAATTACATAGGTATATAGCGATGCCATTTTGTTTTGATTACGTTAGACCCGACTTGTTTCAATTTCTTTTCTATTTTGTAAAATGAGTCAAGCTATTTTTTTGTAAAGACGATTGATTAAATTAATATAAAGAAAATTGTACAAGAGAGTTGTCAAGCTCAAAAGACTTGGGCCCAACATTGCAAGACGTTGATATTATATTAATAGGGTAAATACAATTTATTAGCCAAACCTTTCATTTTAAACAAAATAATAGCCAAACCTTTTCAAAAACAGTTTATTAGCCAAATCGTTAACTTTTCATCCGGTCAACCGTTAGTTGACACTGACATGGCGAAATTTTTGATGAGGTGGAAAGTTTATGATGACGTGGCAAGAAAGTTAAACTTTAGCATTCCACATTGATATTAAGTATTATTACACAATATTTGGGAAAAAAGATATATTAAAATAAAAAGAATGTCATCATAAACTTTCCACCTCATCAAGAATTTTGCCATGTCAGAGTCAACTAAAAGTTGACCAAATGAAAAGTTAATGGTTTGGTTAATAAATTATTTTGGAAAAGGTTTGGCTATTATTTTGTTTAAAATGAAATATTCGACTAATAAATTGTATTTACCATATTAATATAAACAAGTTAGTCTTTCTTGAACTATACCTCATACCAAATTACCAGACCACATATAATACGTGATGAATATGGAAGTTAAAGTGGTATCATCGAGTAGTCAACTCCATTTCAGGATTTAGTTTTTTATTTGATGACTTCTATTGACAAAATTCTTTGTTTAATGATTTCCCCCTCTAAAGTCTAAATATACATGTCTACCCTCCAACCTCTCTAAATAGTAAATACTATTGGTGAGAACATCTTCACAAAGATTCGCAACTCATGAAAGGTATATTAGATATTTCACCATCGTTAAATATAAGTGATGATAATATATTCTCTGTTATTATCAGCTCCAAACCTTCACAGAATTATCCAAGCTCCAGGTGTACACAATCCACCTCTGATCCCCTTCCTTCGAATTCTCCTCACCCACCTCCACCGCCAAGCACTTCATCGGCACGGTGTGCCCCGTAAGCACTGACATGCACGTGGGGATATTCCCTTCCCTCTTCCACACACAAATCGTCTTGTCCGCTGACCCGCTAAACACGAATTTCCCCGCCACCTACAGGCAGAGCACGGTAAGCTTGTGTCCCTTCAAAACGCCGTCGTGAGACAGATTCTTCTCCCGCTCCCAGAAATTCACAATCCCATCGCTCGACCCGCAGTAGACCAGCGTACCATCCGGGTTAACCGCCAGCGCGGTCACTGCCGATTCCTGCTTCAGCAAAGTCTGCTGGTGGTGGTGTTTCATCGACTTCCCGTGATGCTCCCTCTTCCAAACCTTCACCGTCCCGCAGCCAAACTAGTGAAAACCAAACCCTCAATCATGGTCTCAACTGAGTTGACCGCGTCATCGTGGGCGTTGACCGACTCGAGACACTTCGAGTCGGACAAGCGCCACACCTAGAAATTACTGTCCCAGGAGGCAGAATAAAGCAGAGTGCGGTCCTCAATAAAATAGAGGAACGAGACGGCGTCGGAGTGCTTGATCCAAAGCGACGTTTTATGGTGCCGCACCTGGACGTAATTGCTCGGCTTAATCGAGCTCTTGAAAATGTCCTTGAGAGTGGGTAGAGAATCAAATCTTTTGTGAAAGCTCGGGTTCTTCGGCAACGATTTCCAGACCCGGATTTTGCTGTCTTGGTGACCCGTGTAGATTTTTTCGCCAAAGAGGATTATAACTTTAACCAGCCCGCTGTTGGATTTGAAGCCGAAGAATTATTTCAAATTCATCCAGACCCGGATGTTTTTGGAGTCGGATCCGGGGTAGAGGAGGTCCTTGGAGGCGGCTAAGGAGTAGATGTGGCCTTCCTCCTGGACTAAGGATCCGATGAGGGAGTTATGCGCGGACGATGTGTCGTCGTATTGGGTGAAGCAGGCTTTACCAAACGGCATGTTTTGTTCTAGGGGGACATGGTTAAGGGGGAGCCCTCGCCGCTGAGGCGGTTAGGGTCGTACGGCATTCCGGGGCTGGCAGCGGAGGCGCTGCTATTCCGTAACGCCCGTTGAGATACATCATTTAATAGCCATATGCATTCCTAGTGTATAAAGTGCAAGGCGAAGAAAAAAAAGGAGACGATATTAATTGCTTCCTCCCCCTCCCATCTCTCACTTTAACCGTTTGGAGAATTACTTCTCTCTCCTTGATGGGATGCTTTTTCCATGGCAAGAGGTGGCAAGGCTGTCACGAAACCTCATATGATCGTCATTGTAAGTGCCACTATAATCGTATGTATTCCCTTAGATTACAATAAGCTAACTTTAGGTTACTATGTATACGGGTATATCACGGCTAGGCTAATTACATCAGAATTAAACATAGTTTGGTTAATTACAGTTTGTACTCAAGACTATAAACTTAAGTTAGAATTATCACATTTTATTTTCTTAGAATTCGTTTTTTCGTTAATGGGAAGTATCCAAAGTTGGGGTAGAGATGCGGCACTGGGATCACGACAGAGATGCGGCGGGCTGTCCGTCAGGCCAGAGCGGCAGTGAGGTCGAGCGAGTTGGAGAGCACCAAAGTCGGCCAACAGATCTCACATACCCCGCCGCCTTTCGACGGAGAATGGGGCTGTCGAAGCCTTCGACGGAGAAGGGAGGAACTCAGGAATTTCGATTCTCCTTCACCAACGCTTTCGACGGAGTACGAAGCCGACTAAGCTTACGATGGAGAAGAAGGAGATTGAGCCCAAAAAGAAACAGAGAATCTCCAAACAAAGTAGCCAAATATACTCAATTAGGGAACGAGAATCACACAAACATACTCAATTAACCAAGAACAAATAGTAGAACAAATTGTAGCAGATATATTTAATTAACCAACAAGAAGTAGAACAAATTGTAGCAGAACTCAATTAACCAAGAAGAAGTAGAACAAATTGCAGTAGATCTGCGAGCAAGTTCAGCCTCCATCGTAGAACAAATAGATCTGGGTGCAAGTTCAGTCTCCATATCCTAGTCGTCCACCGCAGCCTCCTGCCCTTGGACCATGTGACCACCATTATCTGCCTCAACCCCATCACCAACAACCTCCTACTCGTGGACATGGTCGCCATTCTCTTCCTCAACCTCATCAGCAAAAACCTCCTGCTCGTGGACATGGCCGCCATTCTCTGCCTCAACCTCATCAGCAGCAACCTCCTGCTCGTGGACCATCTGACAGTCATTCTCAGGCTCAACCTCATCATCATCATCATCGCTGTCGGTGCGGAAGATCCCCGCCGCCTCAACCGCATCAATATCGACGATATCCTATTGATGGTTTTCCGCCTACTGATTGATCTCCGCGTACTGATTGTGCTCCGCGTGCTGATTGTTGGCCTGATTATAACTTGGGGAAGTGGTTCAGGGGGCGGGGGAGGGGAGGCCCGCGACGTCCGTTGAGAAACATCGCCACAACGATCGCCAGGGGTCCCGCTATATGTTTGTAGTCCTAAGGAGGAGAAGTTAAGCGGGACCGGAGTTTTGAATAGTTCCCTCGATGGGGGGTTTTGGAGAACAATCGGGCTTTTGTGCTTCCCGTAGGTCGATCGCAGGTGTTCCTTAAGAAAGTCGAGGTCCACGTCTTCCGCCTCTGGTCCTCCGCCTTTCGTCTGAGCAGGGCTGTCAAGGACATGGATGGCCTTCTGCTTCTCCTCACACGTCCTTCCTCTTAAACCCTCGGTGGGGTCTTCTTTTGTCTTCAAGAGCTGGAGGATTTGGGAGAGGCTGTCTAACATGCTCGCGATTTGCAACCCCTGACTTTTGTCCACCTCCTCTAGCTCTGTTTCGTTCTCAGCTCCCAGCGACAGGCCTCTGAGGGTGCTGTTCTCCGTCATCCCTTTGAGAGGGGTCTCGAACTCGTCTCCCATCCTTTCCGCAATGAATTCGTGAGGCCACACGGTGGGCGCCAAAATGTTTGTGCCTGGATTGTACCAGGCGATTTTGTGAGACTTCACGGGCCTCGTGCGACTTTCGATAGACGGGGGGCAGTCTCTAAAACCCTGCAAGAAAGGTCCTTAGGGGAATCCTGGGACCTCCTCCGATGCCAAAGTTAGAGAGAGAAGTGAATGATTAGTAAATAAGAGAGAGAATGGAGTAGATAGAAGTTACCTTAAATGTGACCCATTGAGGGGTATTTATAATAGCGCTAGCTGGGGTGACGCCATTTAATACTCTGTCGGGCGACTAGGGGCGCCTCCGGGCTCATTAAATACATAGTTAGAAGTATACTTTTGCCAGTCTCTGTAATGAGGCAGTAAGGAGACTGCCGAACCCATTTGTAGGGCGTTCTTATGGGTTTCCACTAAAAGCAATGTCAAGCGGTCTTCATTGCTACTCGCGAAGACCGCCTCCGAATGGGCTGTCTTGTGCATTCCGGGCTATTTGGGCCAGGATTGTCTATTTATAGGCTTTTAGTGATCATGGGCTTGAGATCCCACGCGTCTTAATGGTTGGCTCAACAGATAATTGCAAGTATCATTAAACAATTACATAGGTATATAGCGATGCCATTTTGTTTTGATTACGGTTAGACCCGACTTGTTTCAATTTCTTTTGCATTTTGTAAAATGATTCAAGCTATTTTTTATAAAGACGATTGATTAAATTAAAATAAAGAAAATTGTACAAGAGAGTTTTCAAACTCAAAAAACTTGGGCTCAAGATTGCAAGACGCTGATAGTATATTAATAGGGTAATTACAACTTATTAGCCAACCTTTCATTTTAAACAAAATAATAGCCGAACCTTTTCAAAAACAGTTTATTAGCCAAACCGTTAACTTTTCATATGGTCAACCGTTAGTTGACCCTGACATGGCAAAATTCTTGATGAGGTGGAAAGTTTCTGATGACGTGGCAAGAAAGTTAAACTTTGGCATCCACATAGATATTAAGTATTTTTACACAATATTTTGGGAAAAAAGATATATTAAAATAAATAAATAAAAAATCCTCACCCACTCTCTTCCCATCAGATTCTTCTTCCTCTTCTTCCCTCCCTCTGCACGGCGGCCGCGACGACTCTCTCACCAAACTCCCTGGATTCCTCCCTCTGTCGCCTGATGTCTCATTTTTACTCTCCTTCTTATCCTTTCCCTTGCTTGCTACCGTCGTCCTTTGTTGACTACTTTCGCCGGAGACTCTTCACGATATCTAGGGATTGGAAGAGCTCAAGCTAGAAGGTGGAAAGCAAGCGGCTTAGCCGTATCGATAGCTGGCAGGTAAAAGGAGGGCGGGATGTCGTCTATTTCCCCTCCGTGTGTTTTACTTCCAAACCGCTAGCTGTTCCACCTTGTTTCACGGCAACGCGTGGCTTTTCGTGCACGACTGGAAAGGGTTGCTAGTTTTCTCTCTCTTTCTGTCTTGCGAATGGCTCCGACGAACTCCTTTCTTCAGCGGGTGATAGGGGAAGGTTACAAGTGGTTCGTATGGCAACCCAATGAAGAGAATTTGACTCGTCGAAAGCCTCTTGTTGGGACTTTTATTGGGACGAGGGTACACTTACGATAGCCCGAGACCGGGTGACTAGGATTATGATAGAGTCGTGAACAACGTTCACTTTCCGTAAAGAATATTTCCACCCTCAACAAGCCTAGGGTTACAGGTAATTTCTCCCGAGGATAAAACTATCACCACTTTAGGTTCCAGGCTTAAGTACCTAAAGCATACTTAGAACTTTTAGTAGGAAGAAGAATCGTTTTTTTTGTGTGCCTTGCATTGTCCGCCATATGCTTTATTTATAGACATGAAACACTACATTCCGAAGCATTGTATTGCTTCGTGAATTCATGGTTGGGCGGTTAATTAACTGCCACCCCAAGTGTTGTCATTATCACAATAAAGCTAATCACCATTGTCAAACGTTGCATGGATAAGTATCATTTCCAAACGTTGCATGGTTTACATGTAAAACAAGGCAACCCTTTGATTAAATGGAACTTCCATCCAAATAAAACTACCAAGGGTAATTAACTGCCTGCAAAACAAACGTTGGCAGGCCATGAAACTCATGGTATCATGCAACTCAAGGAAAATGATTCAAACCGGACCAAACTGATTAGTTTATATCAAAACCGCTTAAATCAAATTTCCAACATTCATCCCCCATTTTAGTGTATTCAAAGAATCCACTAAAATTACAACATTCTTCCAACAAAACTTAAGCATAAATGAAAATGTCGTGACGATTGAATTTTCACCTTAGTATATTACACTTGACGAATACTCGAATACAAAGGGTGTCGATAACGATTGAACCCATTGACTCATATGAATATTCGAAGATAATATACACTTAAGTTTTCAAAAATTTCTAAGCGCCTTGACACTATTATCCGCCATGTGTCCAATCCATCTCATAAGCGCACACGAAACCAAAGTCCGGGTTTCTTGAAGCGGCTACACTTCATGCTTACGTAGGTTGAATCTCTATTCGTGTACCCGCATAATACACTTTTTCAAAGATTCAATTAAGAAGTTTTGAACTTCATCCTCTTCTCTCATGCAGGATAACAATCACATACCTCGGGATGATAAATTGTGTGCTTCAATTTTTGATAATAAGCTTTCCACATTGAATTCAGCCTCTAACGTTGTATTAGAGGGGAATTGGGTGTCCCATTACCAGAAATTATATGGACTTTAACTTATCCCTTTTACAGACTTGACCACCAAGTCACTAGTTAATCATTTCGTCAAAAGATCAACTAAATTATCTCAAGTCTGGTCACATTACATAGACACAATTCCATGAGTGATCAATTCACATATTTTACAGTGCCTAACTCCCACGTGACCATACTTGTCATTTCACTTGGCTATATGCCTTAGCCAAAGTAGCATTACTATCACTAAGAATAATAATATGTGAGATTGGTTTTGCCATAAATTAATCTCATAAACCAAGCATCTCAACACTAATGCATTTCTCTAAGAGAAATCAAGGCCACAAACTTTGACTCCATAGTGAAACTTACTGATGCAAGCTTGCTTTTTAGAGCCCCAAAATATGGCACCTCACCCAAGCAAGAGGACCCATCTCAATGTTGAAGTATCACCTTTGACATGAGAAATCCAACTATCATCAACAAATCCGTCCAAAATTGATTGAAAGCCACCATAAGTCAATACAATGTGCCTTTGACATATCTTAGTACACGACTCATTTCATTTCAAATGATGAGAACTAGGATTCATCACGTACCAACTTAATTGTTCTATTCTCATATAAGATATCTAGCATAATGTAAGTCGTGCATACATCGAGCCCCCAATTTAACATGGAATGCTCCAGTTGTAATACTGATTTCCAGTATTAACCATAAGTTCCATACTTGGATCCATTGGGGTCTTTAACTCGCTACAATTCCTACTATGGAATTTATGCAAGTACCTTCTCATGCAGAAAAATTGAGAGAAGGACTCTTTATTGTCGTTCCGCTTGATTCAATACACAGAATCTCATTTGCCTCCTCCATGTCCTACATGAATAATTGAAATAACAACTTTTTTATCAAAGTTCACTTATCTTTTATTGGTTTCAAAGATAAGCATGTCTTATACATACAAATGTACGATGACTTCATTACCAGAATCATCATAAATTATGTACAAATTTTGTCTCCTTGGTTTGAAATAACATAAACCACTAGACCAAATCATTTATCTTTGATTGGTCCCAAAGATAAATATGTCATCTACATACAAACACAACGACTCTATTACCAGAATCATCAAACATTGTATATACAATTTTGTCTCCTTGGTTTAACATAAACCACTTAGACAAAACCACACCATCAAACCACTAGACAAATCCATATTTGTCTAGGGTGACCTACCCAAAGGCAATTTTCATTCTTCTCTTTCTCCATTTTACGAATCATTCTCCCTCTTCCTCATCTTCGAATCATCCCTCTTCCAAGTTACCTTCCGGATATGGAATACACCATGAGACTAGTACAAAGAACACCCATCTTCTACTGCCATCGATGAAATACCCATCATCGAAAATTCTCATAATTCCATAGACCGGAACCGGTTTCTTGTAAAGAGCGGTTCGAGCCATCGTACCAGAAAATTATTCTTTACGATTGTTGGGGCTTTTATTGGGACGAGGGTACACTTACGATAGCCCGAGACCGGGTGACTAGGATTATGATAGAGTCGTGAACAACGTTCACTTTCCGTAAAGAATATTTCCACCCTCAACAAGCCTAGGGTTACAGGAAATTTCTCCAGAGGATAAAACTATCACCACTTTAGGTTCCAGGCTTAAGTACCTAAAGCATACTTAGAACTTTTAGTAGGTAGAAGAATCGTTTTTTTTTTGTGCCTTGCATTGTCCGCCATATGCTTTATTTATAGACATGAAACACTACATTCCGAAGCATTGTATTGCTTCGTGAATTCTTGGTTGGGCGGTTAATTACTGCCACCCCAAGTGTTGTCATTATCACAATAAAGCTAATCACCATTGTCAAACGTTGCATGGATAAGTATCATTTCCAAACTTTGCATGGTTTACATGTAAGAAAAAGCAATTTTCATTCTTCTATTTCTCCATTTTACGAATCATTCTCCCTCTTCCTCATCTTCGAATCATCCCTCTTCCAAGTTACCTTCCGGATATGGAATATACCATGAGACTAGTACGAAGAACACCCATCTTCTACTGCCATCAATGAAATACCCATCATCGAAAATTCTCATAATTCCATAGATCGGAACCGGTTTCTTGTAAAGAGCGGTTCGAGCCATCGTACCGGAAAATTATTCTTTACGATTGTTGGGACTTTTATTGGGACGAGGGTACACGTACGATAGCCCGAGACCGGGTGACTAGGATTATGATAGAGTCGTGAACAACTTTCACTTTCCGTAAAGAATATTTCCACCCTCAACAAGCCTAGGATTACAAGAAATTTCTCCCGAGGATAAAACTATCACCACTTTAGGTTCCAGGCTTAAGTACCTAAAGCATACTTAGAACTTTTAGTAGGAAGAAGAATCGTTTTTTTTTGTGCCTTGCATTGTCCGCCATATGCTTTATTTATAGACATGAAACACTACATTCCGAAGCATTGTATTGCTTCGTGAATTGATGGTTGGGCGGTTAATTAACTGCCACCCCAAGTGTTGTCATTATCACAATAAAGCTAATCACCATTGTCAAACGTTGCATGGATAAGTATCATTTCCAAACGTTGCATGGTTTACATGTAAAGCAAGGCAACCCTTTGATTAAATGGAACTTCCATCCAAATAAAACTACCAAGGGTAATTAAATGCCGGCAAAACAAACGTTGGCAGGCCATGAAACTCATGGTATCATGCAACTCAAGGAAATGATTCAAACCGGACCAAACTGATTAGTTTAAATCAAAACCGGTTAAATCGAATTTCCGACACCTCTCACTTTCCCAATCGTAAGTCGAATCTCCCTTTCTCTCTTTATTTTCTCTAGTTCACGTCAACTTACATTTCGATTTGAACTTACATTTCGTCGAATCCTCTCAATTTCCCAATCATAAGCCGAACCTTGTTCCACTATAAAGCAATTTTGCGGAGTTACTAGGATTGAAATGAGAAATCCAAATCTCTGGCTAGTTGGAAGTGTTATTTCCAACTCTAACAGAGCAATTAAAGAGGCGAGAGGAGGGAATCTTGCTGTAAATTACCTCCATTGCAACGACATTGCAGAGAAGTAGGGTCACCAGAAGTTGATGATGCTTCTGAACCACAAGAAGTATACCCGCTACAAGCCTACAACAATTAGGAAAAGCAAATTGAGAAATAAATTCATGAATGGAGCGGCAAAAGTAGAAAGGAATCGGAGGCCAACGACAAGCACGAGGAAGGAGAAGAAAAGAAAGCTAGTGTTAAGCACGGAGGGAGAGTGGAGAAACGTCGAGCAACCTGCTTGTTGCTTCTCGCCGGAGGTACCGCTATGCTGCTGGAGGATTTCGAGGTTGGCGAGACTTAGGGACATGAGGCCGGACATGAGGCCGACTAGGGCTGGCAAAACGGTTTTCGCTTAGCAGTTAACCGGTCGGTTTCGACCGAACCGACCGGTTTTCGGTTAGATTCCGGCTAGGGCTGGCAAAACGGTTTCCGTTTAGCAGTTAACCGGTCGGTTTCGACCGAACCAACCAGTTTTCGGCTAACTGAAAACCGTCCACTAGTGTTGGCGGTCGGTTGTCGGAATAGAGGAGAAGATGCTCGGCTAGCCGATTAACCGTGGTCGAAAACCGGCTAACCGAACTCTTCCTCTTTACTACAAAACGACCTCATCCCCCACCCAAAACGACCCCTTCCCCAAAATCCAAAACGACCCCCAACCTATGAGATTGAAACCCTAATCGGCTAATCCCAATCCCCACTCCCCCCAACCACCCCCACCCCTTTCTCGCGCAGGCGCAGCCACGGCCACCCTCGCCGTCACCGCCCTTCACCAGTTCACCGTCCACCCTCGCCGCCCCTCCACCAGCCACCCCACCGTCTCCCTCCGCCTCCAACTGCCGTGCCGAACGCGTCTCCCGCCGTCTCCAATCGGCCTCCACCCGCCGCGCCGCCCGTCGTCTCATGTCGCTTCCAACCGCCATAGCGTCGCCGACAGTCAGTGCCTCTACCCTCGCCCTCTCTGCAACCCTCGCCGTTGGGATTCGACATCAATTCGGAATTCAGAGATGAAGATTGCCTGCCGGAGGGCTTCCGTGAGAGAATCGAAGCGTCGGGGAAAGGATTGTTGGTGAGGAGATGGGGGGTTCCGATTCTCGGATGGCAGCTGGCGACAGAGCAGTTTTACAATTCGAAGGTTCTGGAGGAAGAGATTGGGGTTTCTGTGGAGGTTGGGAGAGGGAAGGAAATTGTGGTTGAGAGTGGGGATTTGAGGATAAGATAGAGATGGTTATGGTGGGTGGTGCAGAGGGGAATGGGATAAGGAGGAGGTGAGTTATTATTTTTTTTTTCCAGGTCGGTCGGTTAGCGGTCAGACCGGCGTTTACAGCCAAATCGACCTTCATTTTGCGGTTGCCCAGTTAAACCGAGCAGAAACCGAAAACCGATCGGTCGGTCTGCGGCTAACCGAGGCTCCTGGACGGTCGGTGGCCGGAAGCCAGAGTCAATGTCTTGATTTAACCGATAACCGAGAAATCGGTTTTCGGTTAAACCGAAACCGACCGACTGACAGCCCTAATTCCGGCGAAGATGACGAGGAAGCAGGATATGCTGGCATAGACTGTAGCAAGCAAGGGAAAGGATAGGAAGGGGAGTAAAATCGAGGCATCAGGCGGCGGCTGGAGGAAACCGAGGAGTTTGAGGAGAGCTCCGTCGCGACCGTCATGGATATGGAGGGGACTGGGAAGAAGTGGAAGAAGAATAGGATGGGAAGAGAGTGGGTTAGATTTTTTGGTTTCTTTCATTTTGATATATTTTTTTCTACCTCAAAATATTATGTAAAATTAATTAATATCCACGTGGCATATCAAAAGTTGTCATGTCATCAGAAACTTTCCACCTCATCAAGAATTTCGCCATGTTCGAGTCAACTAACAGTTGACTGGATGAAAAGTTAACGGTTTGGCTAATAAATTATTTTTGAAAAGCTTTGACTATTATTTTATTTAAAATAAAATATTTGGCTAATAAATTGTATTTATCCATTTCAGGATTTAGTTTTTTATTTGATGACTTCTATTGACAAAATTCTTTGTAGTGGCAGGTCGTTAATGATTTCCCCCCCTAAAATCTAAATATAAATGTCTAGTCTCCGATCTCTGTAAATAGTAAATACTATTGGTGAGAACATCTTCACAAAGATTCGCAACTCATGATATATTCTCTGTTATTATCAGTTCCAAAGTTATTTCCCTTAGCTTTAACTACAAGTTGGAAATTCGTAATGTAACATACAATAATGAGCCTAAAACAATGCAATAACTAATACCAGTCATGAACAACAACAACAAAAAAAGGCAATGATACCCATAACTCTCCAAGAATAGCAACGAAATCAAAACCACAAAATTCATACCAAAAAAATTCCCCAATGATACACCCGCTAAATAAATGCCTTCCTTATTTTCAGAAATTAAAAAACAAAAACAAAGATCATGCTGGCGGGCCCATACACGTGTCACCATTCCAAGTCCTCCTCTTTACCTAGACCTTTCATTTTTTCTGTTTTTTCCCGCTATTTATAACTAACACCCTCCATTTCCTCTCTCCCGCCTCTTTATTTTGGTATTTTTCCCTTCTCCTCCACCTTCCCTTTGTTTTCTCCTTCCTTCTCTCTTTCTCTCCTCCCTCCTTAGTTAACCAGAAATCCCCAATCTCCCCTTGCAACCCAAATTTCCATTTCCAGCAACAAAAGAGGACGAAGGAAAAAGGGGGTAAAACTTCAGAAAATACCAAGACCCATACCCGGTCTCTCTCACCCGACCCGGTATGTCCGTACCACCCAACAACACAATTCCCTTCCAAACGGAAAAAATGATGCATTGAGATCCCTAAACAACAATGTCAGGCAATTCCTCCACTGATGACGACTTCGCCGCGTTCCGGAACAGCAGCGCCTCCGCTGCTAGCCCCGGAATGCCGTACGACCCGAACCGCCTCAGCGGCGAGGGCTCCCCCTTAACCATGTCTCCCTGGAACCAAACGACGCCATTTGGCAAAGCCTGCTTCACCCAATACGACGACGCTTCATCGGCACAGAACTCGTTAATCGGATCTCTAGTCCGCGAAGAAGGCCACATCTACTCCTTAGCCGCCTCCAAGGACCTCCTCTATACCGGATCCGACTCCAAGAACATCCGGGTCTGGAAAAATCTCAAAGAATTCTCCGGATTCAAATCCAGCAGCGGGCTGGTGAAAGCGATCATCCTCTCCGGCGAAAAAATCTACACGGGCCACCAGGACGGGAAAATCCGGGTATGGAAATCGTCGCCGAAGAATCCGAGCGTTCATAAAAGATCCGGCACTCTGCCCACTCTCAAGGACATTTTCAAGAGCTCGATCAAGCCCAGCAATTACGTCCAGGTGCGGCACCACAAAACATCGTTGTGGATCAAACACTCCGACGCCGTTTCGTGCCTTTGTTTTAACGAGGACCGCACTCTGCTTTACTCTGCCTCCTGGGATAGGAACTTTAAGGTGTGGCGCTTGTCCGACTCAAAATGTCTCGAGTCGGTCAGCGCCCATGACGACGCGGTCAACTCGGTCGTCACCACGCTGGAAGGTTTGGTTTTCACCGGTTCGGCCGACGGGACGGTGAAGGTCTGGAAGAGGGAGCAGCACGGGAAGTCGACGAAGCACCCGCACCAGCAGACGCTGCTGAAGCAGGAATCGGCGGTGACCGCGCTGGCGGTCAACCCGGACGGTTCGCTCGTTTACTGCGGATCGAGCGACGGGATTGTGAATTTCTGGGAAAGGGAGAAGAATCTTTCTCATGGCGGCGTTTTGAAGGGGCACAAGCTGGCTGTGCTCTGCCTCGAGGCGGCGGGGAGCTTGGTGTTCAGTGGTTCGGCAGACAAGACGATTTGCGTGTGGAGGAGGGAAGGGAATATCCACACGTGCCTGTCGGTGCTGACGGGGCACACCGGGCCGGTGAAGTGCTTGGCGGTGGAGGTGGACGAGGAGAACTCAAAGGAAGGGGATCAGAGGTGGATTGTGTATAGTGGGAGTTTGGATAAGTCTGTTAAAGTTTGGAGCGTGTCGGAGATGCCGCCGGACGGGAGTTTTGGGGCGGGTAGCGGCGGCGGGATGTTTTCCGACAGGGAGTCGTTACCGTCTGAGGGCAGCTACAGAGCCGGCGGCAGCAAGGATTGGTAATTAATTATTATTATTATTATATTTTTGTGAAGAGTTTTATTGGTCACTCCCGGAAAACAAGGAAGAAGAAGAGCAGCGGTAGTGCCACGTTGAGGGAATATATATTAAAACGTCATTTTTTTAGAAAACGTGGTGATTTCATTTTAAAAAAGAATAATTATAGTAAATTAAGTGATGTAATTAATTACTAAGTAGGGCTGGAGAAAAAAGAGAGGTATTTCAATTAGTCCGTCTGACTGAAGTTGAAGAAAAGATTGGGAGAGAAGAAGAAAAAAAAAACAATTTTCAGGGAGAGAATTTATCATTTGGTTGTTTATTGTATTTGTACTATTTGTATGTATGAATTTAAAATATTTGACTTTTATTGGTTTGTATTTGTATGAAAGATTGTGGAACTGTAATGGAGACTATACCAGAAAAATCAGTGGTATTTTGTACTAAAAATGTGGTTGAATAGTGATTCAATTATTTTCTACCATTAATATTGCCTATTAGTGTAGGTCGATATCCGGTATTTCTTATTACTAAAACATTAATGTGTATATGAATTTTGATCTACTCGATTTCTTTTGTTTCAATTAAGCATTCATTTTTTCTTTCTTTTTATAAAAGATAAGGAAAAAAAATCGAGACACAAACTTATTATTTCTCAATTTATACTATTGCAATACGTTAAACCAACTATTAGAGGGCTTGTATATTCGTATTCCTCCCTGGAATATCTATGGGGTAAAAATTACAATTGCAATAATATTTTTAGATAATAAGTTTGCTTTAATCTTCACACTAAAACAAGAGTTTAATGAGATATATAAAATTTGCTCGTATAGTTCAATTGATATACAACTTTATTAGTTTGGACATCTGACAAATGAACAAATTGAACTACAAAGGCAACAACAAGTGATTGCTATACAATCTTTGTATACGAAAAATGTACAAAACCTCTACTCAAGCAAAGGTTTTCAGTGGGAAAGTTTGCGAGAATGGCACCTTCTGGTTCCAACTCCAAGCAAATGGCCGCTTCTGTTACCAACAGAGTTCAAGTCCAAGCTCAAAGGACCTCCCATATCACCTCCTTCAAGTACTCTGAGGACCTGGAAAGTTTTATACACAAACAACAAAAGGGTACCCTTGTTAAATGAAAAGATCAATCGAAATTCAAGGGTCATGCTGTTACTGAGCAGCTAGACCGAACCTTGGACATTGGAGGCCGAAAGTCCGGTTCTAGATGGAGGCACAGAGAAGCAGCTCGAGCCATGGCATTGAGTGGATAGGTGGTGGATTCGCGTGCCGACAATCGTGGATCGAGTAACTGGTTCGGGAAGTTCGTATTGCTGAGAAACCAGTTTGAGAACAACAGGTGCTGTCCGTTCTCGAACTGCAATTCGCTTATTCTTCGGCCAGTCAGTAGTTCTAACAAGATCACTCCAAATGCATACACATCGACCTTATCCGTAACATTCCCTCCGTTCACGTACTCTGGCGCCAGATACCCTGAAGTTCCAATCACACGTTCTTCGGTCTCGAATTGCCAATCGGAGTGCCTTCGAGCAAGGCCAAAATCAGCAACCAGAGGCTCGAAATCATGGGTTAAGAGTATGTTGTCGGGTCTCATGTCTCTGTGAACTATGCAACCAACTCTGCAGTCTTCGTGAAGATACCTCAACCCTCTCGCTGTCCCAATGGCGATCTTCAATCGCCAATGCCAATCCAAGTTTGATCTTCTATTTGCTGCTAGCCACACAAGAAGGTAAGCAGTTCATGATTTGAGATCAGATCAGTAAAATGGTTCACAAAGGGGGGGGGGGGGGGGGGGGGGGGGGGGGGGGGGGGGGGGGGGGGGAAAGAGGGCTGAATTCGCTTTACCGTGTAGATGGAAGTCCAATGAGCCATTACATATGTACTCATACACCAAAATTCTCTTCTTCTCGTCAACACAAAATCCAATTAGCAGCACAACATTCCTGTGCTGAGCACAGCTCAGCACCTTGACCTCCCTGCAGAAATCAGCATCTGCTTGGGCCCCAAGAAACCTCAATACCTTCACTGCAACCACCTGGCCGTCGCTCAAAACACCTCTGTACACATCTCCAAACCCTCCCTTCGCCAAGAAATTCTCATCTGAGAATCCGCCAGTTGCATCATCCAGCTCCTCGAACGAGAACTCCCTCGGAGGTTTCCCAAAAACCGGCGCCTTGTGCTGACATAAGGAACATAAAGGAGGTGGTACGGAAGATGTTCTGCCTAAAGACACTGCACTATTTCTTCTCATCACTATACTGGACCTCTTGCTGTACTCCTCTTCATGCCCGTCTTGATCATACTGCAGAAATTTCGCAAGAAGAGTTCTCGAATTCCTCGATTGAACTAGGGAATCGTCGAATCTGCTGCTTTTACAATCCACGGGTTTGCTGTATTTTTTACCACCGTCGAAGAGAGGGTTTTCTTCGTACACAAGAAAAGGTGGCGTGATGGAGGAAGTGTAGCTCGATAACGAACTTGCTGCTGTCAAGTGAGAACCGCCACTCGACTCGTCCTGGTCAGGGCTGCTCACTGGGGTACAATGCTTCATCCTACGTGTCTCTGACTTGAAAAGATCCACGTCAGGTGATGAGGTGGCGGAGAAGTACGGGGTCTGGGGTTCGTTCGAGGGTCCTAGGTTGAGCCTAAGGACTTTGGCCTGTGAACCTTTCATCAGTACAATGTTGCACCGCAGCTCTTCGATGCAGTGCTTCAGCTCTTGCTTCAGTTTTCTGTTTCCACACATGGAAAAGTAAACTACAGTCAATACAAAATGTCAGCCAACTAATTAACTGATACAGATGAGATGAACAGCTCACCCAATTGTCTTTTCTTAATGTCAGAAAAAGGACTAACTACCTAGTAATAGGTGTCAAACATGTTAATGAGACAAATTAAGTTATTCCCTCTAATCATTAAGTTGGTGCATCAGATGATTAATGGGATGAGCACTACAGCTAAGAGGACACCATTTTTGCTTAATCATGAGAAAACAGGACGTAACCACCTTTTAACTAAAATTAGAAAACCTAATGGAAATTATTATATAATAGAAACGAGAAACAATACTTTTGCACTATGTTTTAAAATTACTTGTCCACAACAACCCAATTGGCCTCGTTTCGCTTTGCTTCTGCAACCACAACACTTCCTGAAGTTCCCGAGACCACCTTGATCCTCACTCGTACCTACAAATCAGACGATCAAATTCCATTATCGTCATTGTGAATAATGCTACAAATTAGAATATCGATTAGGTCATAACTTACTCTGCTACCTTAATTGAGCTGATGATCATGGTGACCAGAGTTTACTTCTAATTTCGATGAATGATGGTCCCTTGTTAAAGAAGTTATAAAGAGATTCTTTCTATCCAAGGTGGCCCCTAAGCCACGATTTCCAGACATAAACAAATGGCGAAGCACATGGCTGGGTTTCCAATAATTGACTAGAAGTTGTTTTTGTTTGTATGTGAGAGCATTATACAATAAATGACAACTTTGGGATCCATGAACCTTCTAAAAATCTGACAACTCAATCAAATTGGCAGGGAACATGGAATTCAATTGAACAAAACTGGAAAATCAATTTTTAATATTTACCTCGATTTGGTTATGGAACTGGAGCACCATCTGAGAACAGGAATCAGAGATTTCACAGGCGCGATCCGGCTGCCGGTGGTTGCTGGTGGTGCTGCAATCTCCGCTCAACCTCGGGAAACTCCAGAACTTCCTCACTGAAATTAGGAGTTGGAAAACCAAAATCAAAACCGACACGCATTTTGAAGTGGAAATTGGAGAATTGGTTACCGTCGGAGTTTAGTCAACGGCGGGTGGAGAAACAAGTAGTTACCGGGTTTCGGTTCGGGGAAAACGGCGAGCAAGGTTACGCAGTCGCCGGGGTGGACGACGTGAGTCAGAGCCCAAGCCAGGGCAGTTTTGGAGATTACTTTCTCGGCTTTGACGGCGACTATCACTCTGTCGGGTGCCGCGCGCGTTTCGGCGGAGGGCGGCGGGAAGGGATATTCGATTCCCGGCGGAAACATTGCGGTGGCGGTCGGACCACGGCAGTTGCAGGGGGGGAATTGGGGAAGCGAAGCTGAGAGATTTGGGGAGCCGGGGGAGATTTTGGGCTCGGACCCTCGCTGGCTTTTATGTGTAGGAATCTTTTTTTGCGCTTCCTAGGAGATTTCTTTGAAGTCTTAACTATGGCGGTCGGAGGGGTAGTTTTGGAATTCGCACTTTTGGGTATAACCTCTGTAATAAAACGTTAGTTGGCATGATTGGTTGGTTGGGGCAGAAAAGTGGGTTTTCGGCTTTCACGGTGTGATGTGGAATTTTTATTTTGTTTTTATTCATTTTCTCTCAGTTTTAAGAGGATAATAAATTGATAATGGTGGCGGTATATGATCCTAGTATTGACAAATAATCATTTGAATCGACATTGAACTGATATGATAAAATTTTCTAAATTTTACTGTTAGTCTCATAATTGTGAGTATTGTGATGCTATTTTGTTGTCATATTATTTGTCAGTTCAGTCAAATTGAAGGTGTATGACTATAATGTTTTGTTTCGACAACGTCAACGATGGTCTGGTTGTACATCATATATTTCGACAAAATTGACAATTATAATAATTTTTTTCGAAACGTGATCTATGTATCTAACAATATGTTCAATCTATTAACTCGAACTTAATAATTGGTGAACCCCAACAACCCATTTCATAAGAATAGTGATTTCTGTATTGTTTGTGGTTTCTAGTCGAGTGTGACTTAGACTCCTGCTGAGGTCCTAGCTAGCTAGGGACCAGAGCTTTGTAAGGTTTTTTTTTTTTTTTTGGGTACTTTGGTTGCGAAATTTCCGCCACTGGGGAGTACTGGTAGATACGATTATCGTTTAACATCGGCCCGACGGTTGGATAATGGCGGATGACGACGACGACGACAAGAGAGCAGAGGGAGAGTGACTTGCCAATGGCAATGCTTTACGTTACACTATCAGCTAGGTGTCATGTGAGGAGAGTTAATTAAGAGTCGCTGTTTGAGAGGACCACTTCCACCCCCATTTTCCTTCTTAATTTTTCTCCATCCTCCGATTTATTGTGGTTGTTGGTCTAGGGAACTTGGTATTTTCTTTCATTGATGTTGGGCTTCAGATTTGCGTCCGACCCAGATGACGACGAATCCGGACATCCATCCCATCTTCACGAACTAGGCCCAACCGATTCAGGAACATTATAAGGACTAAGGGATGAAATTTCAACAGTATCATTTATAACTGGGGCTAAATTGCAAGTTTCGTCACTCGAATTGCTACAAAATTTCACGTTTGGTCACTCGAATTCGTTTATTCCATTCGTAGTCACTTAAATTAGTTGAACAGTTCAAGTTCGGTCACTCTCCGTTAACCTCCGTCAGACTCCGTTAGTGCCGTCAGTTAACTACTGACGTGGCTAACAGAGATGTCTAGTCACCACTTTTTAACCCAAGAAAAACAGAAATTGACCCACCACGTCAGAAAAACATGACACCTCATATAAACACAACCCAACCTAAAAAAAACCATTAACCCACCCAGAAATCGAACCCTGACCACTTATTGACTTTCAACTTCTTCTTCATCCCTCTCTCTCAAGAAAATTAGCCCCAAATTCCACAAACGGCTGGCCTTCAAATTCAACCCCAATTCCTCCACCGATTCCCCGAGTTTCAGGACATCGACGACAACCACGTCGGGCTCGACCTCAACACCCTGATCTCCACTCCTTCTGGTCTCTCCACCTACCTCAACGAATCGATGTATGTCAGGAGAGGAGGGATTTGATATTGTTCTGATCTTCACTGCTCGACATTGACCATTACAAGGACCATGACTGCTATTGCTACTGCCCAACCAGATTCCAGGAAAAACAAAAAGGATTGGGAGAAGCGCAGTAGGTAAGGCTGTCGTAGGCAGTAAAATGACATTAGTCAAGACAAGGCTTAAAAATTGAAGAGTACTTCCCTCTGGAGCGCAATTGTCATCCAGCTGCTGCTTCACTATTTACAGTATTTTGAATTCCACCAACATGGGCAGCGAATCCCTCTAGAGCGCAATTGTAGTCGACGAGCACCGTCACCAGCGCGCAGTACATTCTCGGGTGGAGCTTCGTCAAAGGGGAAGAAGAACCCACACCGCTGGATCTCCGCCTTCTCCCCTTCTCTCCCCGGCCGAGCAAGCCGGCGAAGAAATTAGGCACCGCGCCGAAGGTCTTCCTCGTAAGTTTATCAATCTCTCTAGTCGCAATCGCCATCGTAATTTTATCCATTTCTCTAGTCGCAATCGTCGACGAACATACCTGGTGTTCAAATTGATAGGTGGGCACATCGGGTTTGCGGGGCAACCCGTGAAAGTCGGGGTTGGGTTTGTGGGGGACGAAGCCCCGGGCAAGGAATCGGTCGCGAATCTGGATCCGGCGGCGGGGGCTGCAGCAGGGAGATCGAGGGAAAATCACCCCTGCGGCGGCGGAAGCAGGGTATAGAGGAAGAAGAAGAAGGGTGGATGGGTCACGGGTTTGATTTCTGGGTGGGTTAATGATTTTTTTAGGTTGGGTGGGTTGGGTTGGGTTTATATGAGGTGGCATGTTTTTCTGACGTGGCGGGTCAATTTTTGTTTTTTCTTGGGTTAAAATTGGGTGACTAGGCATCTCTGTTAGCCACGTCAGCAGTTAACTGACGGCACTAACGGAGTCTGACGGAGGTTAACGAAGAGTGACCGAACTTGAACTGTTCAACTAATTTAAGTGATTATGAATGGAATAAACAAATTCGAGTAACCAAACGTGAAATTCTGTAGTAATTCGAATGACCAAACTTGCAATTTAGCCTTTATAGCCGAAAAGTAAAACTGCAACCCTCATTTAAATTTTCCTGCGCATAGAATGATTTTAGGAGTCTGACGTGGCAGGGTGGTTACGCGGGACTAAATTACAAATCCCCGCCTGACGAGAGAGATAAGAAACCGTCGGTTCCCAATACTTTTTTTGCGGCTGAAATCATCTTCCATTTTCTCCTAGGTTATTTACGTTTTGCTTTCTCCTTCCTGCAGCACGCGCGGTAAGAGATCCATTTCTCAGCGGACAATTCTGGGAACAGAGATTGACACTTGCTGCTCAGCGGTGGAAGGCATTGACGGCCCGCTGCTGTGTAGTTCACCGTGCCGAGATTCTACAGTTTGGAACGAGCGGCCAACACCTGATTGAGCGAGGAAGACCTGCGGCTAATTGACGGTGAATTCCCCAGCCAACCGGCGAATCGAAGGTGAGTCATGATTTTTGGTATTTGTTTACCCCCGCTGATTCGAACAATCTGATTTGGTAGTTATGCGGTGAACAATTCTCCAGCCAACCCCCGATTCGAAGGGGAGGCGAGATTTTTTCGGTTTGTTTGCTCCCACTGCGTCTATCAATCCGGATTAGGTCGTTTTGCGTTGAACCCTTGCCAGCCAACCGGCGATTTGAAGGGGAGTCCGTAATTTTTTCTGTTTGTTTGCCCCCGCTGCTTCGCGCTGTCGGATTTGTTAGTATGATATATATGCGTTTGGGGGAAGCCCGCAATTCCTCTATTCACAATTGGATTTGGTAGTCTGATCTGCATACTACCTATTACTGTTTCCATCATTTACTTCGCTTATCTTTAGTTTTGTCTGATTGAGTTTCCATGTGTACCCAGCTAAATTGATAGGCCAACACTTCCTCTTCCTCCTGTATCCTTATCGCAGCTTAGAAGGAGACCACGTCTCCGGCGAATTTGCGACTACAAGCCCCTCGAAGCCAAGGAAAATAGGGGAAACCAGCTTCTGTATCGAAGAGACGACGACAAAACTAAATTATGATTACTGAGAGTGACCCATACAAGAAGAAAACGAGCTTTGTATTCGCATAGGGAGAGAAGGCGAGGGATGGGTTAGCGGCGGTGGTGGGTTTCTGACTCTCTTTCGTTAATATTCACTTTCTGACTTCTTATTTAGTTTGTTGATTTTTGGGTCTACGTTATGATTTTCCCTTACTGTACTACATGGATTTGGTTCATCATTTTTGCCAATTCTTTCATATTGAAGGAACGACGACAGGAACTCGATGATGGCTGGAGAAAGTGGAAAAGGAGCGCTGGGTTTGCAGAGGGGAGAATAAGAGTGCTTAAGTTAGCGGAGTAGAAAGAAGGCAAAGCCAGGTAGTTCAAGTTTTGGCTACTTCCTTTCAGTTAGATTGGGCGTTTGTGATAAGTCTTAGTTTGGTCTACATCTTGAGGACTTTCATGATACTAAAAAGGCTAAGAGGAAGAAGAAGAAGAAGAAGCAACAGCAGAGAATTAATTTTCCCTGGTCAAATCCCTTGGTCGCAGTTTACAAAGACATAGAAGACAAAGAGAACGACAGTGGAAGGAGGAAGAAGAAGACGCACAAAATCGAAAAGGTGAAGAACTCTATTACGATTGTGAAGGAATAACGAAACTGACATGGTGGTGACCTTCTCTCTTTGCTTCTGCTTTCTTAATTTTTTTGGTTTAATTTCTTGTGATTTATTCGCAGGTTAATGAGCTTATGCCAGTTTTTGGGTACTTACCTTCCAAATAGCACATTAGGAAGCTTTCACCTGCCGAGTTCAACTTATTAATCAAGTGCTTACCATTAGGGGTGGAAATTGGTACGGTATTGGTATCCCAATACCAAATACCGAATTACACCATAAAATTAATCCCAATCCCTAAATAATTTCGGTATCCCAATCGGTACCTCGGTATCCCAATTGGTATTATCGAATACATAATTAATTACCTTTGCAATTAATAATTAAATATATAAATTAGATTTTATTGTTTAATTTAGGGCAAAGAGACTAAGCAAATAGTCTTGAGTTGCCTAGAGCTAACATCTCAAATTCTTGTAATGGGTAATATTTAAGTTGACGAATTTGAGGTTGAGAGACGACTAATACTAGTGTAAAATAGTGATGTAATGATCTGTGTATAATTAAATGACACTTTTGGTGGTTGATGGTCGCTTAGTAGTGAATGAGAGAGTCTAGTTGAGAGGATTAACTACACAGTAGCTTATATTTAGGTATTGATCGGTATTTCGGTATATACCGATCCAATTCCCGTAATCCCTAATACCAAATAACAATTGAAATTCAATCCCAATCTCAATCCCACAAAATAATAAGTGTATTCGGTAATACCAAATATAGACAAATTCGGTACAATATTCGGTATATCCCAAATACCGGTACCAAACTTCCAGCCCTACTTGCCATCAATGGTGGTTTGGATGTGTTTGGCTCCATTTTATATCTTGCAGACCTCGCGGTTTGTAACTCTAATAGCTTTCAGATTATTGATTTCTTACGTTGCTATTATGTTTACCTGCACGCTATGCATGATCACATAGAAATGGCCTTATTATCCGAGTTCTTATGCAGTGGCTGGGTAGATTGATGTGGTCATTTCGGAAACGACAACTAACATGTAAGAGTAGTCACCTTCTTAATCAACAAGGTGTGCTAGGAACTAAAGTCCTGTGTTATGCTAATTGTTTGTATTGGTGTTCAGGGAAGAGGGCATCCGGAAGGGAAGATTACATCTTCATCAGTTCTGTCAAAATAAAGCGACCATAAACAATACATGCCTTTTGCAGAACATAATGATGAGTGCTGCATTTTTCAACGGTTTATATATTTGTTTCTAGTTCTTTTATGCGTGTATGTCTTTTATGCCTGATGATTATGATTCGTTGATCCCTTTTTTTCCTTTTAGGAGGAATAGCATATATGCAACAAAAAGGACCAACAAAAATGATATAATCAAACACGATTGGCGATTCTCATGATGATGAGATTTGTGCTCTTTATGAACAAGCTTTCTCTTGGTACTTTTTTCTCCCTTGAATCTCTCATTTTTATAGCGGATGTTGTGTTATATCATTTTACACGGTCAATCACAAATCGTGTTTGGTTTCTAAAATTAGAATGAATCTGGGTTTGTGTTGCCTAGGGACTGAACTTGTGATTACCTTTCATATTCATCTAAAATTTTAATTTTTGATTTGTTATATTGGTATTGTTTTCAGGTATGGTTGGTATTTTAATTTGATTTTGGATACTCATAGGATAATTGTTAGTTCCAACCAGTACATGGATACTCATCTAAAACTAAAATCAATTAGGTGATTTCCCATGTATTCGTTCCTACCCATTCACTGTTTTGATCTTATAATTTTCCATTTGATAGGTTCCATTTGTTGCTATAGGTGTTTCCTGCGAACTGAATTATAGAGAAAAACGTATATGTTCATGAGTTTGAGATGCACAAGGGTGATTGGTTTAGCCAATGCTCATGGATTTCGTAACCCAAGGTAGTATTCTTATTCATACCTCTGTTGTTTTTCAGCTTCTTATTCTGTATGTATTGATATAGCAGTTTCAGTGATTATAAAGTGTTGATACTAATTAAGAAATCTGTAATTTCTGCATAGATTCTTTATTTTTGCTGCTTCTCTGTTTGTTGTCGCTTCAAACCTCCACTTAGTATCTTCCATATCATGGCAGGTTCTACAGCATAGGAATGGTGTCCCTTCATTTTACCAGTTTGTCCTTTAGATAGATGTGCTTCAGTAACATGTTTTGTGTTCTGCACTTTTATTCAGAATTTTGTAGTAGGGTAGAATCAAGCGAAAACAAATACTTGCAGCAGGATTTATATAGAACGTCTCTGTAAAAAATACATGTATTGCACTTGAGATCTTAATTAATACAGTTGGGTCATGTATTTAATCCGTTTGTTTTATCTTCTTCGACGCTGTACTTTTTAAGCTGTGATGTAAAACTTGCATGAAATTGACTTGCAATGAATTTATGGATTTAGCAAGTGGCAATCTATTAACTTTGTACTCTTGGATGTGCCCTTTTGAATTTGTTAGTGTTTGGGGACCTTCTTTTTTATATGACGATATAATCAGATAGCAAACTTTTACTTTGTTGTGGTCATGCTTTGTTCCTTGATTGACCCAGGCTCATGAAAATCATCCAAAATCATATTAGCTATCTTGATGATATCAGATTGCTGCTGAATCTATAGTTTTTAAAAGTAAAGTTTAGATTTTGCCTATATATGTTAAGACTATAATCTATAGATGTTATTATGGGAAGGAGATGATCTTTCTCTATATATGACCAATAATCTGACGAATTTGGATGCAGAAAATTTGCTTTAAGCAATAAGACAGAAAGACTGGTTACTCATACAGAGAAAGAACATAAAAAGAGTAATTGCATACCGAGTGAAAGGGATTTGGATATCTCTGCACAAAGAAAAGTCGGTATCACTTATTGGTTATTCATTTGATATTAAGTTCACTGTTTTTTTTTGGTAGTTATAATCTTATCAGCATCGAATAGTTAATTCTTAGATATTTTGTTTTTATGGTAGTGAGTTCTAATCCGTTCCATTAGGATGAAACTATTTTGATTTGAGTTGGCTTGAAGGAATCAATAGCGAGCTTCCAATTTGGCTTTGATGGCAGACAATAGTTTCCAAATCATTTTCTTCGGAATTTTTCCAATAATAGCACCTTTAAAAAAAAAATTACAAAAATAGCACCTATGTAAAAGAAATTCCACTAATAGCACCTTATTTTTTGGAACGCACCCCTAAGATGCGTTTTAAATGTAAACCGCACCTTACAGATGCGATCTATAGGTAAAACGCATCAGAGGAGTGCGATCTAAAATATAAAACGCACCAGGTCGAGGCGATTCGGGGAGGACGCGTTGCGATCCACCAGATCGTCGGATTGATAGCCGATCCAACGGCTGAGCGCACGCCAGCGGAGCGATCCGCGCCTTGGATCCCAGACCGCACGCTAGCAATGCGATCCGCGCCGGTGTCAGTCAAACCGCATTGGGAGGGTGCGATCTGCGCCTGGGGAAGCGGAAAACGCATTGGGAGAATGCGATCCGCCCGGGGCAAAATTCCTAACTCGCCCCTGGAGCCTGCGATCTGAAAACTATAAATAGCCCCCCTCCCCCTCTCATTTCTTCACACCTTCAACCCATTCTTCCTTCTCTCTCTAAGTTTTATCTCTCTAAACCCTCCCCCTCCCAAAAGCCTAGGAAATAGTGGTCTATTGGTTGCGGCAAAGTCCGATCTGCCATTAGAAAACATTTCTTAGGTTTTTTCCTCAAAACCCGCCGAGCCGAGCCGAAGCTCTGTCCGAATTGCGCCGAAAAAATGGCCGATTGGTGGCAAGGAGAAGGAGTTTTTGTTGATGAATTTCAAGCGGTACGTACTCATTATTCGGGTTTAATTTTTGTCTTGCTTTTTAATTAATCTATTTACTAACCTCGTTGTTATTTTCTCGTAGGCTGCGGAGGACGTCGATATTTACAACCAACGGTATTATCTCGAGCAAGGACCGTTGGATCCAATTGACTTGTACGACCAACCCAACCATCGGTCAAGGGATGTTTGGAACGCTCACCCGGTACATACAATTCTTTACCATTTGTCCTTCTTTTATTTTGTTTATGTATTTAGTGAAATATAAAATAAATTTATGTTGAATTTTTAATCGTGTTGGTTGTTTTCAATAATTTAATCTGATACATTGCGCCACTTACTTCGACTCTTTATAAAGAGATGCACGTCTAAGGAAATGGGGTTTTAAGCGATTATCATATCCTCCCATTTCCTGGGAAAATCGGGTATTAAGAGATCCTCGGATCCCCCCTTTTTCTGTCAACAAGACTGCGTTTCTAAGAAGATGTATACCTCTTCTAAGAGTCTAACGAGTGTTGCTTTGTATTCGATTAAATGATTTAAAACAACCAAAACGATTAAATAATTTACCAAACAGTCCTTACGATTTAAAATTTATGTGTACAAATGGAATTTTATTAATTTCAAACAATTGAATATGTATGTTTCTCTTTAAAATATTGATTCATTAACAATGTCATTTAATTTAGTTAATTTAGTATGTTTATTTTACGATAATTAGTATGTATCTCTTTACGATAATTTAATATGTATGTATCGTATCTCTTTAAATTATTATTCATTTATAATGCTATTATGTTAATTATATGAAATGTCTAAAGTATGATAATAAAATTCTGCTTGAAGTTAAATAATTTAATTTAAGTAATTTAGTTATAAGGATTAAACCCTTACTAATATATAATAATTAACGTGTAAATTTTCTCTAGGAGGCACAAACAATAATCCGCTACAGGGGTACGACCAATGTGCTCCCATTCCACCCAGCCATCTTGCCCTTTCTCAAAAGGGCACGATTGGACTCGATTAGGCATTTTAACGGCATCAAAGTTGATCGCCAACTCATCACCGCCCTAGTTGAGAGATGGAGAAAGGAGACACATTGCTTCAACTTGAGAGAAGGAGAGGCCACCATCACACTAAAGGATGTCGCCATCCTAACCCATCTCCCCATCGACGGCAAACCCGTGTGCGTTAGTGATCATGCCCCCGACGATGTCGACGGTATGCCCGGTTGGGTTCATTTCATCTATAGTGTTTTGGGAGTAAAAGTACCGGTGAAGGGGCATGTTGATGCGACCGATCGCTTGCCACCAATGAGGAAACACCAAGTGTCAATTACTTGGTTGACGAGGTACTTTAGAGAGCATTACGAGAGTCATCCCCTAACCGAGGAAAGTCCGGAGGATGAGATCGAGAGATATGCTCGGGTCTATCTCATTGGCATGATCGGAGGAGTGTTCTTCTCCAAAAAAGCAAGCAATCTCCTTAGTTGTGGATGGCTTAGGATCATCCTCGGTAGATGGGAGGAGATGGGGGAGTATAGTTGGGCATCCGCTTGCCTAGCGCATATCTACAACAACTTGTGCAATGCCTCTCTAAAAGCTGTGAGGGAGGTCGGCGGCGCAATGTTCATCGTCCAATTTTGGGCTTGGGAGCATATGCCATGGCTTGCACCGGTAGAACGTCCCGACCGGGATTGGCCAATCGATCATCCCCTAAGAGGGGAAGCTTATGGAACAAGGTAAACTTCTCATACCCATCATGTTTTTTCTTGGTTGATTTTCCCTTGTGTTTTATCTTATTGTAATTTCGATTAATGTTTTATTAATAAGGTGGATCGGACACTCCACTTGTGACAACCTTACCCAACACAAGTTGGATGAGTATCGGCGGAGGTTTGAGCGACTTTGGGAAGGAGAGGTAACTTCTATACTCCGATCTATTTATACCTTTTTGCCATTGAGACATGTATTTTTCCAATTCTAACTATCTTAATTTACTCATTTTGCGCGTGTAGATCATCTTCGATCCATACCCGGAGAACATCGTGCAATGGCATCTCCAGCAATTCCCCGAGCATATCGGCCAATGGTGCACGAGGGTCCCACTCATTTGTTTTGGGATTGTGGAGTGGCACTTGCCGGATCGATGCCTCCGTCTGTTTGGTCGGGAGTAGTGCATTCCATTGGCCGTCCCCGAAAGTCAAAAGGCCTTCCATGGTCGAGATGGGCGGCAAGGTACTCGAGATTGGCCCTTTAAGCACAGGGAATACATCGCCATGTGGGCGGAACGACAATCGCAAGATATTGTCACTCCATCAGCAGTGGGTCGAATGGGGTATCATGACCCGTACTTGGATCGCTATCGGCAAACATCGGTCCGTTACATGACTCCGGAGGGTGCTGCCGATGGTGCATTAGTAAGTATATTCGACTCTACATAATTAAATGTATTGTTTTTGTTCCTAAATTGTTTCATAACTTATTGTTTTGTGATTTAGACTGACGGGATTGAGCGGATTAAAGACATTACCACCGGGAGGTCGCAGCTGGGAAATGAAGATGTGAGCTTCATCAGGAAGATGGCAAACAGTCTTCTCGGATGTATCAGAGCTCAAGGGAGGGATCATCGTAGATATCCGCCCATGCCCGCACCCCCGCCACCTCCGGTACAAGTGGATGTCTCCGATCCCCCACCACCATACGAGAGGAAGCCAAGCAAGAGGGTTCGGGAAAGGCCCATCGAGCCCGAAGTCACGCCATATCCCGGGTGGAAAGTACCGCCTCCATTGGTTGTTCCCCAAGGTGTCGGCCCGAGATCCCCCCAAGTCGGCGGCCCGAGTTCTCCCCAAGTTGGCGGCCCGAGTTCACCCCAAGGCGCCGGCCAGAGTTCCAGCCAAACTGGCCACCAAGGCTCGTACTACGATCCTCGGGCGACATACCATCAAGGTGCTCCGAGTCCCACCCCGATCTCATACAACGATCCCCGTCAAGGATCGTACTACGAGTATCGCCCGATCTACCCCCCATCTCCCCGCCAAGGAGGTTACCACGATTACCGCCCGGTCTACCCACCATCTCCCCGCCAAGGAGGTTACTACGACTACCGCCCGGTCTACCCACCATCTCCCCGCCATACATCATTCGGTACTTGGCATGATGGTTCCTCCGCGACGGCACACCACGATTTTACGCCATGGGGTCGCCCTCCGACTACCCACCGAGCTTCCGTGGATGTCACCCGCTCAACCCCGGAAGTGCCGATTCCCCGCCGACATAGCACCGACGACCGCCAAACTACCTCCGCCCAAGTTCGAAACTTGCCACCGCCTCCACCGATTGTTACTCCCGTCGGTCGTCGTACAAGGAGCAAGAAGACCGTGGGATCGACCGAAGCTCGTGGACTTCCTTGAGCGGATTGATGAGAGTTCAATTTAATTTATATGTAATTTGAACTATTCCTATTATCTTAGTTTATTCGAATTGATTGTTGTTTCAATTTGGTCTTATTTTATCCCATTAGAACTATGCCTTTTATCTTTATGTAATCCCAATTAGTTCAATCAACAATACTGTGGAGATAAGTAATTTGATTGAAAATTATGGCTTGTAACCCAACTTCAAGTTAATACGAACAAGGCTGCATTTTTTCCTAAGTGTTGAGACAGTTTTGGGAAGGGTACTTTGGAAGGCCGTATCTCTCAAAACCCTTCACTGGAAATGCAAGGTTAGGGTCGCATTTTGAACCTTGGATGGGCGTTTATAGTTTTATGCATTTGGTTTGTTATTAATAAGGTTAGGAGGATTGTTTTCCAACGCCATCAAAACCCTACTCATGCACTATGGAATCTGCTTGTTTTTGTCTAAGGCAGGAAAACAGTTTGAGGTACAAACTTTGAGCTCGAATTCAAGGAGTTTGTGGCATGACCAGCTGGAGCTTGGAGTTGGGAATGGAATGAAAAAAAATTAACAAAGCAAACTATGTCGCATTAGCTGAGTCTGGCACATTAGGACCCGCATTTTGCGGACCAATCGGGCCTGGACATCTTCGTTTATCATGTCCTGGAACTTTGCATATTGAACATCGTCTTGGGCCTCGTGGTGGTCTTCCACTTTGATCCATTTCGTTCTGAATTCTCTTTTTCCTGGGGCGACCCGGCTCACGCCTCTGTCCGAACGGCGGGATGATCAATTTTCCTTCGTACATCGGCCAATAAACTTCATCAGGCAATGCACGGAAACTCCGTCCATATGTGTTTTTGAGTGAGTCGATATTGTAGAACGGACTAACGAAGTGACGTGGGTCTTTGCTCCTGTTTTTAATTACGGCCATTGCATGAGAACAAGGCCACCCTCTCCCTTGATACTTCTGGCAGGAGCACTCACCAACTTTTGTCCTGAAATTGACCACAACTTCATGGCGGTGGCCCCCCCGTCTACCGTCCTCCCGATGCCCGGTCGTCACGCTATACTCGCCATTCGCCCGATTCATAACGGTTACACTATGTCGACTGCTCTTGCGATTGTCATTCTCCATTACTTCCATGACTTTATAGGCATGGACCTTACCCTGTGCCTCGTTCGTTCTTGCCCAGTGGAGTCGGTTGACGAACCATGCATTCGTTTTCCAAAAAGTCATCTCGACAATGGCAGAGATTGGCAGTGCACGAACGGCCTTGTAGACAGAGTTGATACTCTCACCTGAGTTCGTTGTGGCAATACCCCATCTTGTCCCTCCATCTTTATGAAATGTCCACATGGATAGGTCATGTCCAGTGCACCACTGTGCCCCTTCAGGGCATAACTCGCGCAATTTCTGCATCTTCTCCAGATATTTTTTCTCTTGATAGGCAACCGCTGAGGAAGACACGGAAAAGAATCAAAGTTAGTCAATTTTTGGCAATTTAGCACAATTTCGAACAACCCGAAAGTACTCTCGTTATACTCTTAGGAGAGGTATACATCCCCTTAGAAACACAGCCTGTTTGACAGAAAAAGGGGGGATCCGAAGATCGCTTAAAACCCGATTTTCCCAGGAAATGGGAGGATCATGATAATCGCTTAAACCCCCATTTCCTTAGGCATGCATCACTTTAGAAAGAGTCTAACCAGAGCACGTATCGCCAAAAGTACTAAGATATTGTAATTGGAACTAAATTATACATCTAATTACAAACTTACCAATCCACCACAAATTATCAGCAAGCTTCTTCCGCTTGAAATGATGGTTCCAGTTGCTCTTGAAGTGTCGTATGCACCACCTTTGGGACCACTTCCACGCTGGATCTAAACCTAAGATGGCAGCTCTGATGCCGGCGTGCCGATCAGAGATTATTGTAAGGTTCGTCCTCCTAGTACAATGGATCTGAATTTGCCGAAAGAACCATCCATAGCTATCAGCATTCTCTCCCTCGACAATGGCGAAGGCTAAAGGAAAGACTTGTCTGTTTGCATCCGCCCCACTGGCAATCAGGAGAGTGCCCTTGTACTTGCCGGTAAGGAATGTTCCATCCACTTGGATGACAGGGACACAGAAGCCAAAACCATCAATACATGGCTTGAATGCCCAGAAAAGTCGTCTGAAATGGCGCTTGTTACCTGGCTCTGGGAGTTGTATCTCTTCATCTTGGTATCGAGGGGAGAAAACCGTGCCAGGGTTAGATGCCTCCAATGCCAAAATTAACCTGGGAAGGAATGCATATGATTCTTCCCAATCACCAAAGACGGCGGCCAGAGCTTTCTGGTTTCCATGCCACGCCTTCTTATAGTTAATCATATAACCATAACGACTTGCAATGTCAGCGATTATGACTTTCACCTTTAGGTCTGGCTCTTGCTCAATTAGATGCTTGATAGCCGCAGCAACCACCCTGGATTTCAACTATCGATGGCCTTGGGAAGTTATGGATGACACACATGTGTGTGTGTTCACCGCACGGGATATGACCCAGCAACCGTGTCTCTTGCTGTTGATGGCCCGAATCCTAACATTGCACCCCTCGTGATGATTACGGCATCTGACTAAGAGCCTTTTAGTGTTTGAATGAGTTGTGACCCATTCAAAATGCCGAGTCATTGCTTCTGTCTCAATGGCGTGACGCACATCCTTCTTCGAGCCAAATTGTTGGCCCTTCATAAACCCAGTGAGTGGACCCCATATTGGGACCTCTGGCGGCTCCATGTCGCTGTCGACCATCCAATTGTCGTCTGGAATGTGATTGTAGTAGGGGACTGGTACACGGTCACGAGCCCCCTCATCATCATTAGCTGAGTCTGACTCTGGTCCGGAATCATCGGCACCTTCAAGAGGGCCGGAGCTGTCTGCACTGACGTTGATCTCTCCTTCTTCGTCGGATGGGTCACTGACTGGTGCTGGCATGACATCCTCCATCTGATCCAGCTCATGAAAGGCACCTTCATCAGCTCCATAATGGTAGTTGTGAAAACTACTGCTGCCTGAGAGGAAGTTGTACTGAGGTTGGTTGGGCCGGTCCGGTTGAACTTCTTCTTCATATGATTGATGATGACCTTCACCTTGCTCTTGGTACTGAAAATATGAATGAGGATCATGGTAACTTTGGTAGGGATGATCGCCATATAATTCACCTCCACCATGGGTACCAGATGTTTGACCGTGTCCAGAATGACCTCCAACGCCTACGACCGGCTCGGTGTAAACGAACATCTCGGCTTTGGAAAGATTGTTGGACCTCATGAATTCGAGCATGGCGTCTACCTCATCCTGAGTGGTTATGAGATATTCCTCATGCCACAATGACCCACTTTCTCTGTTTGGATATCGGTACACCATACGATCAACTTTTCTCGTGCCATCCATGCAAGTAACGTTAGTGCACATTTGATGGAGGTCTTCGAGCAGCGGTCTGGTAGCGACCTTTATCTTCTGAAAATTGCCACCTACGTAGGTGGCACCCTTTCCGGTCTCTTCCGTGTAACCATTCCACCGTAAGCCAAGCGTGAACTTTTGGAATGCCATCTGCGATAAAACCGTAGTTAAGTTAATATCATAAAAATCAAAAATAAAAATTAACAATACAAAGTAATACTAAATCAACTTACGAATTAACGTTAATCACAAAACTACTAAAGAAATATGTAATACTAAATCAACTTACGAGTTAACGTTAATCACAAAACTACTAAAGAAATATGTAATACTAAATCAACTTACGAGTTAACGTTAATCGCAAAACTACTAAAGAAATATAGAGCTACATCAACTTGCGAGTTAACGTTAATCGCAAAACTACTAAAGAAATATGTAATACTAAATCAACTTACGAGTTAACGTTAATCGCAAAACTACTAAAGAAATATAGAGCTACAACAGAAAATTGAACAGGGAAGTGAGAAGGAGAGGTGTGAAGAGAAATGGTTGTCCGGGAGGCCTTTTATAGGCAAAATCTTGATGAAAACCGCACCTTAGAGATGCGATTTTCGTCTGCCATGCAGGCCCATACAGACCCACGTCTGTAACTTCTGCATGCATGTCGGAAATTAATTGACCAAAACCACACCTTTAAGGTGCGGTTTGCATGTTAAAATCGCATCCTCATGGTGCGATTTTGTCTGCCAGAAACAGATCGCACCCCAGGCATGCGATTTAACTAGGGCTGGCTCTAAATCGCACCTGGGCCATGCGATTTTAGTAGGTCAGACCTAAATCACATTTTGGCCATGCGATTTTACTAGGTCAGACCAAAAATCGCTTGGCTAAGGTGCGATTTGATTCCAGATTTTTGGAACGCACTTTTAGGGTGCGATCTACTTATAAAACGCACTTGTAGGGTGCGATTTATATGTAAAACGCATCTACAAGGTGCGTTCTATTAAAAAGGGTGCTATTAGTGGAATTTTTTTTACATGGGTGCTATTTTTATAATTTTTTTTTAAAAGGTGCTATTTCTGGAAAAATCCCATTTTCTTCTATCAACTTATTGTATAATCCCACCTTTTGCCTCTATTGCAAGAATCAACAAGGGAAACCAGAGCTACCGTATTTCCATTACATCACCCTTTGAGGCTGGGCAAGTGTTTCAACTCCTGGATTGGGGTAATTACTTGGTTCAAGGTTGTTGCTGGTTGTTTTGTTAGTTCGTTCTTAAATTCATTATCAAGTTCCTTTTGGGGGCATTCACTTGCAAATTTCATTTAGCCTATGAGTCAAATGATATTTAAACTCTTTTAACACAAAATTATGTTCTGGTATGTCTAAAGTTACATGTTGTTTGGAGGCAAAAATTACGACAGATCTTTATTGTCATGGGCCTGAATTTTAGTATAGGCGTGGAAGTTATAGGAGCATAGATATATGTTGTGATCCTGAAGGGGGGGGGGGGGGGGGAAGGAGTTGTTGCATCTGATGTCTAAAAAATAGTACAACCACTGCTTTCGCTATCACTTCCCGTTTAAGGTTGAATACCATCAAATTGCGAACACTACGAAGTAAATTTCATTTATCTATGGTAGACATCTAATATGTGGGTAGCGAATGTCTTCTGAGATTAAGAAATATGACCGTCATTTGTTGCTTCTTTAGTCACGTAAGTTAAGGGGTTGCACCGAGGGGTTTATTAAGCCACATTCATAGTTTTGATAGCAAGTAAACGGAGTTCCCAATAATTAAAGGGTGCTAAGGCTATAAATGAAGTGCATTAGCTAAAGTGCTCTTTGAATTGAATCAGTATTTGAGAATTAAAAAGTACCCAAATAATGAAAATATGAAATCATCTAGATAATGACATAAATGAAGAGGAAATAATAACTATAAAATGAACCAATTAGAGGATAATCGCTTTGCATATCTGTATGTGTTCAAATATTTTGAAATTTGTCTTCAGTGGGTGGGGTTCTTGGTTAAGTGACGTTTTGGGATCATGAATTGTTGTGTGTGCTCTTGATTAGTTCCCCGTCATATTTTGCTAATGCATTCTTTGGTAACGCTGCTATATTTTTTAAAATTATAAGCAAGAACAATTAGTGAAAGTTTAAACATTCCTAATGCTAGCATATACTAATCACTTGAAGCCCCCTTTCTTTTCTTCATGTAGCTGCTGTTGATTGTGAAAGTCGTTGTTTTAGTAGATGACTCAGGCTAGAATTTCATAACAAGATGGATGGGGACAGGACAGTTTGTTTTCAATGCAACATCAGATAATTGTACGAAAATAGCTTACCATTCATCCTCATTCTCACACGACATTGTTTATGTTGGTGATAACATATTCTTAAAACAACAGTTACTTTGATGACTATGTTTTGTGCTGATATGGATGATTGCCAAGTGGGTTATTAATGTTTACTTCCTGATCCGTTAGACATTTTAATATAATTCACTTTTGTGCATATACCTTATAACTATGCGACATGCTAGCTCATATGGTTATGGGTCGTTAATTGCAAGGACCAACATAGGGGAAAACATAATTGTAGCCAGGTCACATACAGATTTATCATATTGGGAATCGCATTAAAATCAATAAACCATGAGATTGTCAGAGAATCTTGAAGATGACATGTTTTTAATCAACTACTAATAATGTATTGTATGTTGGATAATATGGCACCATGATAATTCCTCCTAGGTTTGTTGTTTGGATGGCTTTACTGTTTTCTTTACTTTTTTGTTTTTTCGCATCGGTCACTTTGAATGCTCGATTTGCAAATCTAATTTATGGATGTCACTTATTCTAAATTAATGGGGGCCAACGAATTTCAAATTCGATAGCAAAACCTTTTCATCCTTGACCTTTGATTTGAATACAGTTTTAGCACCTACTTCCAAATTTAGGAGTTAGACAAATCTCGCATGTGTTGAATTTAGATACCAAACACATAACTGAAATATATTATCCAAACGATGTTCACATTTGTTATTGAATATCAAATTGGTTTTCTTTCTTTCTAAAGTCATGAATCTTTTTTCATAAAATCACATTTTCACAGACGATTGTATATTTGAATCAACAAGTGTTTTATTTAATAAAAATTCCAAATAAATACTTCAAATATTTGAGATTTTGGTCAATATAATAGCTTGGACTATCCTTTTACGTCATTGCCAACGAATTTCAAATTCGATAGCAAAACCTTTTCATCCTTGACCTTTGATTTGAATACAGTTTTAGCACCTACTTCCAAATTTAGGAGTTAGACAAATCTCGCATGTGTTGAATTTAGATACCAAACACATAACTGAAATATATGAACCAAGCGATGTTCACATTTGTTATTGAATATCAAATTGGTTTTCTTTCTTTCTAAAGTCATGAATCTTTTTTCATAAAATCCCATTTTCACAGAAGATTGTATATTTGAATCAACAAGTGTTTTATTTAATAAAAATTCCAAATAAATACTTCAAATATTTGAGATTTTGGTCAATATAATAGCTTGGACTATCCTTTTAGGTCATTGTCAACTCTTAAAACCACTAATATTTTTCGTGAATCATATAAAATTAAAGATCCCAAATCAAATAAATCATGAATATTGATAAAATAAATTATACAAAATAAAATGAAATTGATCCGAACAACGGGTCGGGTAAAAGCTAGTTGACAATCAAACCCACAAGCCACATGTGCAAGTGCAAGTATCCGATATGAGGCGAGTATGTGGCAACAACATGTAATTTTTTTTTTATGAGAACGAGACGGGTTTGTTTCTAGACATCCCGTCCATATTCATAACGATACCCGCTCAACTAAAAGTATTTCTTCATATATACAAAAATATATGAATAATATTTTTATCTTTTAATTACAGTAAGGGTAATTCAAAACAATAAAGAGTTGAAATATAATTAAGTGGTCACTGAAACAAAACACTAGTTTATTTCTATCCACTGTCCCTTCATTCTTTCACTACTTCTTATTGTTAACAAGATTGTGCTAGTTATTTATTGCTTAGTAGATGCATCGGAGTCGGGAATGAATAATTTAGATAGTATTGTACATTTTCGTATGCATTAAGTTTTAGGATTGGATGCTTTGAATTCGTAGTAATAATGGTCGTAGGATTGTTAATTTTATGTTTTATTAGGCTTGTTTAGTAGTGTAACCGAAGATCCACGTTTTGAATTTTAGATATAATAATTGGATATACAAGCGGATATTACCAATACCGGCGGGCACCCTCGAAAACCACAGTTATAGAGATGACGTTGCAAATCGTTTTTCCACACAATTAAATATGGAATATGTATAAGTTTGGATATTTGAAAATTAGAATACAGATGGCTATAGAAAACTCGTTGCCATCCTGGTATCACTAGAAAACACCAGCCTTAATTTGGTTAACGAGAACATGCTGGAGATCAACCTCCCAATCACGAGCAAGGAGGCCCCGAATTTGATTAACGAGAACAAAATAGGGATGACAATCCCTCCCTTCCTTAATCAGTTGGATCGCCACAGCCGAATCCACTTGTGCCACTTCTTTACGAAACCCCAGCCTCCAAGCTGTCTGTAAGCCAAACGTCACACCTGCTAGCTCCGCTCTTGTTACCGTCCCCCCTCCTAGGTTCCTGTAGAAACCTGCAGCATTGCCGGCACTTACAGAGCCATCCGAATTCAAGCACATCCACCCTCTTGGTGGAGGCTTCCATGTCACCATTACTTCATTACGAACAGCCGCCGCAAGACCAATCCTCGACACCTTCTCCACAGCCTCTTGCATGTTCTTCTGAATGAAAATTGCACTCCAGCTGATCATCTGGGATGACTCCAACTTCCCAGTTATAGAGATGACGTTGCAAATTGTTTGCCCACAAAATTAAATATGGAAAATGTATAAGTTTGGACATTTGAAAATGAGAATACAGATGGTTATAGAAAACTCAATTCCATCCTAGTATCACAAGAAAACACCAACCTTTTCTATAATAGAAATTAGAAACCCAGTAATCAAACTTAAATATACTGATATATATATATCGTAATTCAGCAACATACACAATAAAAGCATAGAAAAATAAGCACCATCGATAGAGTCACATTAGTCTCGTTACACTGTTCATCCATACAAATGTGATGGGAGCCTTGGAGATAATAGAACCTCCAGAGGGCTAGCTCTCTGGTAGGTGGATCCCATGGCCTCCCCCATATCAACCTTACCACCACTAAACGTGGTAGTTCGAAAATCGAACCCTTGCAACAGCGTGGCCAGTGTCAGCTGCACAACGTGGAGAGCAAACGACACTCCGGGGCACATTCTTCGACCAGCGCCAAATGGCAGCAGCTCGAAATCCTGGCCCTTAACATCCACATTCTTGTGAGTTGTCGTCAGAAAACGTTCAGGACGAAATTCATTTGGCTCATCCCATACGCGCGGATCTCGCTGAAGCTTGAAATAGTTGAGCACGAGTTGCGTGCCCTTGGGGATGTGACGACCCGCCACAACACAGTCCTCTCCGGATCGACCCCGCATGTTGACCGGAACGGGAGGGTAAAGGCGGAAGGTCTCTTTCACTACGGCTTGTAGGTAATGCAAGTTGGGAATGTCAGACTCTTGGACTTGCCTTTCCATTCCGACTATGTCTTCTAACTCGATTTGGGCCTTTTTTAGGGCTTCAGGATGGTTCATGAGTAGAGATAAAGACCAAGACATGACTACTGTCGACGAGTCGGAAGCTCCCAATACAAGAGCCTGCAAAGAGTAATAAGAAGTGAAAAAGGACAGAGACACTTCCCAACTCTAAACAAAAAAACTAATTCAAACATTCATGATAAACGAAACAAGTATGATCAAATTACCATGCAAGTAGCTTTATTGACAACATCAGCATCATGACGTTCTGCATCGTATTCGTCGAGAATGCTAAGCAACACACCCATGAAATCGTCTCCATCCAGCTTCTCTGTCGTCCCTCCTCCATCACAACAACTCTCTTTGTGCTCTCTTAACCATTCGTGCACAACGTCGTCCAGATCCTTGGCTATCTTCTTCAACGACTCCTCATGACCCCCAATATCAAACCGCCTCAGCCACGGAAACACATCACCAACCCCAAACTTCTCCACCGAGTCGAAGTAATCCCTCACCAACTTCTTCAACTTCGCACCCTCCTCATCCCTGGATGTGTAATATCCCACCCTCTTCCCGAACACCACCCTCAATATCCCGTTCAACGCCACGTCACCGAACCATCCCATCATCTCCACGGAAACGGCGTCGTTTTTCCCGCCCTTCCTCGCCTGTCTCCAAAGGTCGTACAGCTCTCTGGTGGCAAGGCGGATCTCGGATTCCCGAACCGGTTTTAGCAACCGGAGCCGGTGCGACGAGAGGAGCTCTATTGCGACGAGTTTCCGCATCTGTCGCCAAAAGTGGCCGTACGGGCTGAAGCCGAACATGGCGCCGTCGTAGCCCAAGATCTCCCCGGCGGTGGTTTGGAGGCGGTTGACGATGAACGCCTTGTCGTTTGTGGTCAAACATTCCTTTGCGGTCTCCCAGTCGCTGACCACGATTGCTCTTTGGGCTCTCCCCATTTCGAGAGTGAAGATTGGACCGTATCGATCCGCCATGTCGCCGAGAACTCTGTGAAGGGGCCTCGGCCCACGTAAGAGGTGGAGGTGGCCTATTATGGGCCAGGCTCCATCCACCATTGTTGGTGCATCTCTTTTTACGTGACCATTATTTGAGGTACTTGATTTCAAGAGAAGGATGGAGATGATGATGATGAGGATAAGGGCATAGAAAGAAACTGCAGCGGAAAGATTGAGGTTGGAGATTAGTGAATGGATGAATATTGTCGCCATAGTTGGGGAGCTAGACAGGAACCTCCAATTATTGTATATATATGTGATCGTGTTTAGTTGCCTATATATATATATATATATATATATATATATATATATATCTTGAGTTTCTTGGCTTTACCGAAAGCGAGAGGGCACCGATGAAAGGAAAAACAGCTTAATTTACAGGCGGCAAACTGTTTTAAACCAATTATATGCAAGAAAGGTTCTAATATATATAGTAATAGAATCTCAAACTACTTAACCAAGTTCATGAATTAGCATCTTCGTTTTGTCATTATAACGGTAGTTAGGAAGTCAAATATATGGCAAGTGGAGCAACCGGGAATCTGTGGTTGTTAGATGCCTTGAGGGTCAACGACACAGATATGTACAACAAAAAGCAGACGTGTAACAAGCCTTAAAAAAAAAAAAAGCAACCAAGAAGGGTTAAAAAATATGTTTGATGCCCTCGTATCATTAAAAGTTAATTACAAGCATATTCTTTGAGTTTCAAATCAGGGGCGGAGCCAGGATTTGGCGGTCGGGGGGCCGGATTTCTTACTCTATAATCGCGAGAATACGTTAAAATTAATTAAAATAAGGTTAAATACACTTGTGTATCCAAAACTTTCACGGTTCTGCCAATAATATCCAAATTTTACGGAATAGCACTTATATCCAATTCCTTCACATTCTATAACGGTGTTTTTGGATATACAAGTGTATTTAACCAAAAATATATTGGAAAATGGATAGATTTGGCAAAGAACAACTTTAAAACTTGGATATAAGTGGTATTCCGGGAAATTTGGATATTATTGGCACAACCGTGAAAGTTTTGGATATACAAATGTATTAAACCTTAAAATAATAAAGGAAAACAGATTTGTTATGTTATTATAAATATACTTTTTCAAGATGGTTAAAATAACTCCAAATAAGATCTAAAGTTCAAATTTCTAACATGATAGGTTCAATATATATTAAAATAAAAAATCAATTAAAATGTAATTCAATGTAGTGTAAGTCTGTAACACATTTCATTTTCATTCAAAATAAGATCTACACTAATACCATGACATGTTTAATATAAAATTAGAAACAAACTAACAAATTAATAATGCATTTCAAGTCAATATCATGTAACTCATTCTAATTTCATAATTTAAAAATAAATACCTAAGAACTCGGTTTAATATCACAAATTACAGACATTTTTAAAAACAAACTATTTAATAGGGTATTTAACCAAAAGACTAAAATCTGCTAGAAAACAAACGATTTAATAGAGTATTTAATCAAAAACAAACTATTTAATAGGGTATTTAATCAAAAGACTAAAATCTGCTAGAAAACAAACTATTTAATAGAGTATTTAATCAAAAGACTAAAATCTGCTAGGAATAGGTTTCGAACCCAAGACCTACAAAGAATAAGAGAGAACTGCATCCGCTGGACTACCAAGTATTATTGTGTTAGTTTGGTGCACTGTGACGTATTTAATGTTTCTTAAGTTTATACGAAAATCTCAAAATGCTCGGAATGTTTACACGTAGCTTTTGAAATTCTCGGGGGGGGGGGGGGGGGGGGGGGGGGGCCGGGCCCCCCCCGAGAGCCTACCTAGCTCCGCCCCTGTTTCAAATGCCTGTATATAGTATGGGTGTTATAAGTTTTTGTCTTTATGGTATAACTTGAAATTGTACATTTAACGTTATGGTACAACTTCAGATTGTACCTATACTTTTTGAACAAATTCTTTTATGGTACAACTTGTACTTGTACCTTTATGTGACGGTACAACCTCAAGTTTTAAAGTTGTACCATAACATAATAATACAAATTGTTTTATGGTACAACCTAAACTTATACATTTAATGTTATGGTACAACTTCAAGTTGTACATTAAAGCACCAATACTATATAGCATAGTAGAAGTGCTCATATGTAAGTGTAACACATTCGTGGAGCGGTAGCGGGTGTAGGAGCGAGAACGTGAGAATATCAAATTTTAAAAGAATTCAATATTAAGAACATAAAAAGAACATTATTAATTATTATCAAATAGAAATATACTATATACTATTTTTTTAAGCAAATAGTATATAGTAGAACTAAAAATACAATTATCAAACAAAAGTTAACTTTTTTAGAACTTTGCTACAGTGATTTGGACAGAACGATTAACTGTGTCTACAAATCTCTTAGAGACTACACCATGAAATTTCAGGCAAAACCCAAGACCAAGTGACTAAAAAATGAAATGTAGGCTAGTGTGGATTGAATCATCTTTCAATATTTAATTTTAGATTATAAATTATGAACAATATCATGATGACCAAAAGTTGAAAAGTGGCAGGATAATAGACTATTAGCCCCTTCATCTTCAATTCTAATAAACCACTATTATTTCTTGAATCTCTCCTCTCACAATAAACTATGGCTCCCTCACTGTAAAATTGGATTGGAAGTAGTGAAAATATAGCTAAAACATGGTATAATAGATTTATAAATACCTGTAGTCTATAAATAATTTTGGGTGGTAATCTCTTTGGTACAAATTAACAACATACTATAAAGGGGTCGTTTGGATGAGGAATTCTAATGGATCAATATCACACAATTGTCTCGTTTTGAGCCAATTGTGCTAGATTGATCCGTTTGGCAGCATAACATTTGGATGAAGCAATTTGGGTTGGGGAATTATGAATTGACTCATTTTGAGCCAATTACAATTGTCTGGGGTGGGGGCAGGTAATCTGAATTGACTCGTTTTAAATGATTCGTTTTGTAAAATGAAACAATTAGTCAAATTGTCTCGTTTTACAATTGATCCAAAGTTATTTTGCATGGTAAAAGCAAAAGGCTGAGAATACAACTACGATCGACCTACACCATTTCCTTTTAAGTCACATCATCCATACAAATGCTCCGGTAGTCTCGGAGACAACAAAACCTCCAGCGGCCGAGCTCTCTCACAAATAAACCCGCCGCCTTCCTCCATATCAACCCGCCCGCCGTCCCCCGCCGTCCGAAAATCGAACCCTTGCAACAACATGGCCAACGTCAGCTGCATAACTTGAAGAGCAAACAACACGCCGGGACACATCCGCCGTCCACTACTAAACGGAATCAGCTCAAAATCCTGTCCCTTCACGTCAACGTCCTTGTGGGTCGTCAGGAACCGGTCGGGCCGAAACTCGTCCGGTTCGACCCACACCCGCGGGTCACGCTGGATCTTGTAGAGGTTGATGAGGAGCTGCGTGCCCTTCGGGATGTGGTGGCCGGCGACGGTGCAGTCCTCGCCGGACTCGCCGCGCATGGTGAGCGGGCCGGGCGGGTACAGGCGGAGGGTCTCTTTGACGATGGCCGTGAGGTACGGCAAGTTGTGGAGGTCCGATTCCTGGACCTGTCTGTCCTGGCCCACCACGTGGTCCAATTCGAGTTGGGCTTTCTTTAGGGCTTCCGGGTGGTTTAGGAGGAGGGAGAGGGCCCAAGACATGGTCACTTTTGTTGAGTCCGAAGCTGCCAGCGTAAGCGACTGCAAGGGATAGTAAAATAGGTTATGAATTAAATATGTATGTATATTTTAGTTCATCTAATGAAAATAAATTAAAAGATATTAAATATATATAAACTTTTAATATAAATACTAGTTAAGTTAGCAATTTAACTCATTAAATATGAATATTAAATATGTTATATGAATTTTATACATGTTTAGTACAGAGTTCAAACATCAATGAAAAAAATGAAAAGAATTAGACAATAAAATGAATACATAATTTTTAAATAAATAAAATACTTATGACGTGAAAGGAAGAAATAATGTTTTCTTAATACATTTACAAGAGATTGGACTATATTGTTTTTCTTTATAGCGCTATTGACTTGTCTTTTGTTGAGGTGATATAAATAATAATAATAATAATAATAATATTTATTGGATGGGTAACGTACTTGGTAACTTGATAGAGATTAGTGACCTAGAGATTTTGATTAAATGAGGGTTTGAGTAGAAAACTTGAAGTTAATCTCATGATATATAAATAATTATTTACTGACATCTATGGTAAATTTTGAGGGTTTGAAAAATATGAGTATGCATCAGGATTCCTATCATAAACCGAGTTGTTGAGAAATTTCTTTAATTATTGATTTTATTGCTCTTTTATATGCTTCGTCAAATTAAAGCCAACTCACGAGTTTTAAATTTATACATGCCCATCATATATTGTGTTTAAATAAACTATTTAATTTTGAAAATCGCTAAGATTTGATCGTTCGAGAACGTCATATCTGATTCAATATTATCACAAATTGTTTGATTTGAATTTTAAGGAAATTAAAAGTTAATTATAAATTTTATAACTCAATGCAACGACATGTATAATAAACGATGATTATTGATTATAGAGCGAAATAAAAATTACCATGCAAGTAGCCTTGTTGACCGTATCGCAATCCCGACCTTCAAACAACGTCTTCCTCTCTTCATCATCATACTCATCGAGAATATTGAGTAACAAATCCATGAAATCATCCTCCACCTTCCCCACCCTCCCATCTCTCTTCTCCTTGTGCTCCACCAACCACTCCTGCACGACGTCGTCCAGAGCCTTCGCCGTCTTCTTCAGCCCCTTCTCGTGCCCGCCGACGTCCAGCCGCCTCAGCCACGGAACCACATCCCCGAGCCCGAACTTCTCCAGCGAATCGAAAAAATCCCTCGCCAGCTGCTTCACCTCCCCGCTCCGTTCATCCCTCGAGCCGTAATACCCGACCCGCTTCCCGAACACGATCCTCAGTATCACGTTCAGCGTCACGTCGCCGAACCACGATATCATCTCCACCGCGACGGCGCCGTTTTGTTCACCCTCTGCCACGGGACATTTATTTGTTAAAGAAAAATACTCTATATATGTATGCATCTGCAAGAGATTAAACTCGCCAATTTAACGTGGCGTAAGGGTATTTTTGTCACGGACTAAAACTTACTTGTCGTTATTTGATTGTGATAAATTAATTTATTACCGTACAAATGAAACCCAGTGGCACCAGCTTGGCTCGGCTGAACGGTATGGGGGTGTTGCTAGTATAATTTATCAAACAATAGTAATTTTGAAAGAATATTTTTCCCAATAAAGTATATGAAAAGACACACTTCGATATCAAATGAGATGTATCTATGAATGAAACATTTAAAATATGATAACAAGTTGTATTATAAACAAATAATAAAATTATGGCTACGCCACTAGCTAGTATATAACACTATCATTTTGATTTATGTTATGGATACTAATTAAGATTATCATGTTGGTCATTAATTGAAGGTTAATTTTGTCTGTTCAATTCTACGTCATACCCAAGTTAAACAAAATCATGACTAAACCACTGGAAAAAAAAAAAGAGGACATACCTAATTTCAATTTTTGGCTCTGTGACTGGCCACCTCGGCTCCACAGCTGGTAGAGCTCTCTCACGGCGACGCGCGTCTCCTCGGCTCGGACCGGCCTTAGCAGCTCGAGCCGGGCTGAGGAGAGGAGCTCCAGAGTGGCCAACTTCCTCATCTGGCGCCAGTAGTGGCCGTAGGGGCAGAACCCGAAGATGGAGTAGTTGTATCCCAGCGTCTCCGTGGCGATGGTGTGGGGACGCCGGGCGATGAACGCCTTGTCGTTTGTGGTTAAACACTCCTTGGCAATCTCCCACTTGCTGACGACGATGGCCTTCTGGTGGGCCCGGCCCATCCGGATGGTGAAGATGGGCCCGTATTGGTCGGCCAGGTTGCCGAGCACCCTGTGGATGGGGCCCGGCCCGCTGAAGAGGTGGAGGTGGCCTATTATCGGCCAGGCTCCGCCGACAGCTGGCGGCCCGTTGTGGCGGCCGGAGCGGGTTGATCGACATAGGAGGAGGATGGAAACGATGAGAAGGAAAGCGGAGGCGACGACGGGGATAGAAGTGAGTGAGTTGATGAATCTCTCCATGGTGGAGAGAGGTTTGGATGCTCTGTAATTCGTAGCAATGGTGCATATTATTATATAGAGAGAGATAAGAAGAAATTATTATAATTATTATATAGACAGAGATAATAATTATATATAATTATTATCTGCATACTGTGGTTAGCAAACTTAACCTGTCATTAACTACGGTTCCGTTCTTCGATGGTCTCCTTCTTTGGGCTCGATTCATTATAATAAAATAATTTTTCTTCGAGAAATCCGAGTCAAGATGAAAGGTTCACGTGGTCAAATTTATCCTTTTCTGGGGAAGAAGCTTACCATTATTTGTCGGTTCTTCCTCTTCTTCTTTTGGAGGCGACACGTAAGGTGATGCAAACTTTGATCCGAATAATTAATTACCAACAAAGTACTGTTTTTAAAGTGGAAGAAACAACGAATGACAGGCATGGAACTATTTCAGAAAGTAAAAATGTTGTGTAGATGGTTTTTTATTGTTAGATTACTATTAATTACAATAATCAAACAGACTAATTGTATATACACCTTACATAAGTACAAGCTTAATTTTGTAGGCGTGACTCGTGTTTGGCATTCTCTATTATATTTTTTTTATAATTATCGGACACTTAATCACTTGTACGAGCAGTGAGATCCTTATGGGTTATGCCTAGTGTGTGTACACAGACATGAGCAAAGGCACAACACAGTTTATAAGTTGGTTATGCAGGCCTAATATTTATGAGATCCTATTAAGTATAAACACGATATGACATGAAATAAATACTTTTTTTATAGAAAATAAATAAAAAGAGATTTATTAGTTCAAATATTACAAAGTACAACTACAAAAATTATAATTTATTATTTTTCGTTCTGATGACAAAGATATCATAGGTAATTACTAACATAAATAAAAATGGTTGAAGAATGGCAAATTACACCCTCTACACTTTCAATTTTCTTAATTGTTATTTTTCTCAAACATTTTCAATTAACATTTTGATTCTCCATCCAATTTTCTCATCCTTTTTTCACACCCTCTTTTATTGTCTTCATTTTCATTAAGCACAACACGAGAACGAGTATGCATGATACAAATTTAAAAAATAGGTTGGCACTACATGACACAAAAACTGACATGTCGTGCCAAGCAAGACACGAGAGAAACGAGTTCGAAGTTTACCCGTCCCGTACCGGCCCAAACACGACCCAACACGCAGGTACATTCCAAAATATCAACTCTGGAAAGCTAAATCAATTTTACTAAGTTGTCCAAACTTTAGAAAGAAAAGGTCGAATTCCCCTGTGTGTATAAAAAAAATCTTCGTCAATCTGGCACGAGAAAACCTAATCAGTGCAGGATATGTCTACAACATCAATCCCTTCTTTCTACCAAGCAACTTTGTCATCGTCGAATTAATCTTCCCCCGACATCCAAATTTATTTTCGATCGATTGGCTTAAACAATCTCCTGCTCAAGTTGCATCTCAAAAGACTGCAAGATGATTGGCTTAAAAGTTGATACACTTACAACACGTTCAATCCTTATCCTTAATTGACATACACATCAAGCGATCGACTAGAATGATATTTTTTTCAAAGTAAATTTTGAGAGGATTGAATCAAATTATTTTCTTGTCTTGTACAAACAACAAAATACTATGGTTAGCGGACTTAATTTCTCATCTAGTACAGTTCCCATTCTTCATGATTGGTCTCCTTCTTTGGTCTTCGTTCATGGTCATCTTCTGGGTAAATAATTTATTTAGAAATGGACCTCAAGATCAAAGGTGCTCACATAGTCAAACTTAACCCTTCGGGCATGTGTTCTCTTGAAAAAATTCCCATTCGTTCTCCGTTGGTTTTCCTTCCTCTTGCCGGATCAAAGTTTGGTTTTATGGAGTAGGAATTCACTTTTCTTCGTCCATAAAATTGTGCAATCCACGATTAATTATCTTTTTTCGGTCGACAAGTAATTCAACCAACTATTTTCGACAAGGTGTTGTTATCATCAATGAAGTTTATGTTAGAAACCGAACAGGAAAAATTAGGGTTACCGATCTGGCTGAGTCGCGGACTAGGTCGCTCTCTTTAAGTCGTTCGCGGCATTGCCTCGTATTGCGCACGACAGATTATCAGTCAGTCGCCTCCAAGATAAAACAGCCATTCTAATTTTGTTGCTCATCGGTTTTGTGCGAAAAACCGGAGCTCTATGAATTCACTCTCTCTCGTATTTCTGCTCTTCTGAGGTGTGTTTAGAGGGTCTGGGAGGTCTGTTATTTATAGGAGCAGAAAACCCAGAATATTCCCTCTTTCTTTGGGAATAAGTCACATTTTAATTAGGGAGATAATTACTCCCATAATTAAAATATAATCTATTAAGATAATTAATCTTAATTATCTCCATAATATTCCTTTTATTAATTATCCATCTTATTTTCGTATTATGTGAAAATACTGGATAATTAATTAGGAATTTCATTTATAGCTTTTCAAAGCTATTCATCCGAACAATCCCCCACTTGAATAGTTTTGAAACTATCTCTGAGCATCAACAGTTCCATAAGATCGAGCATAAGCTAAGGTATCGTGAAGATTTGAACCTTAGCGTAGTGGTTACACTTCCGATTTCATAAGGGTGACTCGTAGTCTTGAACCCTATCTCAGACAATGTAGCACACCGGATCTTTTCATTGAGTGATATTTTCTCATAGGCCGTGCGTTTATGGCCATGCACGTTATCCCGGTTTAGTGAACGCTCTATCAACTTTGTGCCTCCAAAGTTCCATAGGGAGCGGCCCCACTCCCACATTCACATAGGTGAGTCTATCAGAAGTACCCCCAAAGTAAAGTACTTCACTCCACATAGAGTATAGATATCATTAAGAGTTTAACTCAACCTCCAAGGCTTTGGGATTCATGCTTCACTATGCATGAATTTTTCTCAATATTACTCATGACTTGTTATTACCCATTGAACCCGTTTCTTGGGATCTCCAGTCTATCGGGTCGGGTTACCATCACTTGTAATCCATGGTTCGGTAGGCATAAGTCTCATACCCTTCGTGTATTTTGGACTTTTCTCTCTAGGTAATCCTTTCGTCAAAGGATCATCTAGATTCTGTTAGGATCTCACATGATCCTCATTGCTCCTATCGTTAGGAGTTCTCTTACAGTACTGTGCTTACGACGAATTTGTCGTCTCTTTTCGTTCTAGAACCGGTTCCCTTTTGCAATAGTTGTGGTGCTATTACAATGAATCAACTACCAGAGGGATCGGTCTTTCCCATAAGGGAATCTCTAGTAATGACCCTCTCAATCAACTTTCCTCTTTACTAGCCATTGTTAGTTTCATCATTTCTGATTCTTTAGTCGATTGAGCCAGAATCGTTTACTTCTTAGAATTCCAAGACACAACTCTTCCAGTGATGTTTAAAACATGTCCACTGGATGCCTTGGAGTCTTCTATAAGGTATTCTCGTCCGCATCAATATACCCTACCAATACAGCAAGAAACCATTGATAACATATATCAAGGCCTACTGTTCACTTAAGGTGTCTCATGACCCTTTTCAATAGCATTTCAATGTTTCATACTAGGACAATCAATAAGCCTGCCAAGTACCCCCACTAAATCGGGTCTCATGTTTATTAGCTGCCTCTCGCAGACTGTAAATGCTAGTATAATCTAACTTTCTTACACCGTCTTAGGTGTTCTTCAAATATTTATACTAGCATCATCAAACATGTATGCAGGTGTACATCTTGTATTTTCCTAGTTATTAGGATCTTTAAGCATAACATTTGTTTCATTTAGATCCTTCACATTCAAAATTCTCAACCATCATGGTTTTTCAATATTGACCTCACAAGTCTTTTATAGTGCAAGTGTCGTTCTCAAGTTAGTAACAAATGCACTTGCCACTTTCATTCAAAACCATGAGAGAGAACCATCTATCCATGCCATGATTTTTAAAGTCTGTTTCAAATAATACCATGATTTGTCTCACCATAGACTTTAAAAGCATGTTCAGGAATAACAACCTTTTCGGTTGTCCCATTCTCGATTTCTTTATCTAAATCACCATTCACAAAATGCAATTTTAACATCCAGATCATACATGGATGTTATTCTAGATTTGGTGAATAAAGAAATCTACAATTTTTTTCCCCTTCTTCGCCCAATGTTTTAGCTAGTAGGTAATCCTTATACTCATAAACTAAACCATCAGGTTTCTGTTTTTCTTTTAGGAATCCATCTATTACCTTGACTTCATTGCTATGAGGTAATTCTCAAAGATGCCAAATCTTGTTCGCTTCCACCAATATATTACCCAAGGCTTTACAACCAAGAGGTAATTTTACAAGATTCTAAGTCTTACTAGACTCCACATATTCCATTTCGTTAATAATGGATTTGTTGGGCCGTTGGGGATCACCACCTAAATCAAGGTCCATGGAGTAAGAGACGGCCCAAGGGAAAAAGGCCCAAGGAAAGCTAAATCACGATATGGGCCGGCCCAACGGCCAGTAGATTAGTCGCAGCGCGTTAACGCCTGGGAATAGTGGACGTACAGGCGCGTACGACTGACGGAGCAGGCACCAATAACGACCATGCCGTCACTGACACCACACTAAATGCCTCCGTGAGCGTACCTCGTAAAGGGATACTAGGTATATTTCTAACAAGACATCAAGTGCTTACACCAACTGCCACAGACTATAAATAAGAGTCAACCACCTCATTTAATGGTAACTGATTTCAGTCTCTCTCTACCTATTTTCCTCTCTCTAGACACTAACTTAATCATCGGAGAGTGTCCGCGGGCAACGCCCGGAGCTTTTCTGCAGGGAACGAAGGTTCTCCATCTCAAGGAACCAACGGTCTTCTCCTTGGTCTTCATAAAATCCGCCTGGCACTTTCTAGGCGTAAACAATTTGGCGCCCACCGTGGGGCCGAAGAGATTATCGTTCTCCTTGAGATGTCGGGGGACTCCATCACTCCCATGAAGGAGGTCGTCGAACCAATAGCGTTGCGCGGT